TTCCCAGAAGTTGAAAGAAACTCTCTCGCAGGATCCTTTCTAGTCCTAGGAGTCCAACGCTGACCAATAGCTTGGGGGTCCTCGTGTGCACTCTCAAAAGCCAGACATTTTAAACCACTGTTAGCCCCAAAAGGATCTTGTGCACCACCCCTCCCCCAGGAATTGTTCTTCCCTCTGCCCGAACCTTCCCCCTGCCTGCTGCATCCTTCTGTTCTCCGCTTCAACCTGCCGACTACAGGAACCCTTGCAAGACCCCGCCCCTAGGATGTGTCCCATTGTCCCCCACACTCCCTATGCTCCAAATGCTCCCCCCAAGTACTGGAATGCCATTGTCCTGTCTCTGCTCATCACCCACCAACACTGAGGACAGAGGTCTGAGCCAGGGCCACATCTGGGACAGGGACGAGGGGACGGGCCAGAGCCTCGGCAGGGGTGGGTGCTGGGGGGCATACCCCCATCGATGAATGTCGAGGTGCTTCTCAGTTTCGTTCTGAGTTGCATGCAGCTGCTTTCATGCATGGCAGCGGCTTGGCCACATTCTCAGCATAATTTTTCCAAGGATGGTTTTCCTCCAGTGGCTGGTGTCCTTGGGCCCTGAGCGGGCAGCATACAGGCTTCTTCTCAGAAAACCAGAGACACCACTTCCCCCAAGACAAGGCCTGGTTGGAACGGCCTCCAGGTCCCCAAGGTCCCCAGGAGCTGACCTGGCTCTGCGTGGTGTGGGTGAGGTGGCAGGTGGCCTCCCTCTCAGGGCCTAGGTCTCTACATCTGCACGAGGGGTGAGTGACTGGTCCCCCCGCCTGGCAGGCCATTGTGAGCCTTCAGCATGCCTGGGCCCTACTCTGCGCTCAGGACGAAGACGGGCCACCAGGGAGCCCACTGCCCTCACCCTCACAGCAGTAACAAGATTCAGGAAGACAAGAAGCAGATCAGCATGTCTAAAGCAAACACTGTAACCAAGCTCAGGGAACCTTCTGGAAAGCCATGAAGCCTTGGGTCCCAGGGTGCTGTCAGCTGGCCAAGGAGGACTCACTGAAGGCAGCAGCCACAGGGCTACACCTGCACCATCCGATACGCTAGCCACTGGGCACATGTGGCTATTTAAAGTTAAATTTAAGTGAATAAATAGTAAAAGTCAGGTCTTCAGTCGCAGTGGCCACATTGCAAGTGCTCAATAGCCATATGTGGCTTGAGACTCCTGTATCGAATCCTGCTGATCTAGAATATTCCATCATTGCAGAAAGTTCTGTTGGATGGGGCTGGGCTGGATGGTGATTGCTCAGTAAATGGTATGAGATAGAGGGATGGAAGAGGCGAGGAAGAGGAGAAGAAAAGAGGAAGGAGGGAGGAGGCAGGGGAGAGAGGAGGGAGGGGAGGGGAGGAGGATGCGGAAGGGGTTTTCTTCCCTGACTTGAGTCCAGGTGCCATGGACCACAGGAGCATCTTCCCCAAAGCCTCTCACACTGCCTGGAACACACTGTGCCCAGAAGGCGGCAGATTTCAGAGCCCCACCTGGAGAAGGCGATCAGCAGCAGCAGCAGGAGGCACAGGTAAAGGGCGACCTGGGTGACCGAGCGCCTCTTGTCCTGACCTTCTCCAGCTCCTCTGAGAGGTTTCCAGATGAGACTTTCACACAGCGCCCTCTCGTGGCGCACGTCAAGCTTCAAGAAAACACACGGGCAGAGGAGCGCGGGGGCTCAGGTCCCTGACAGCCACACAGCACGCCCAACGTGGGCCATGGCGGCACTGCATCAATGACAAGTGGCCACATCCCTCCCCAGGAGGGTGTCTGAACAGGTTTCCGAATGAAGGGGCCAAACACTCCTCCGTCCCTGGAGTAAAACCCCAGCCTCAGGCCCCAGAGTCCAGGCACCGCCGTCCCCCGCCTGGTTTTCTGCCACAGCCTCTGAGCGGTCTCCTGTGTCCACTCTCGCCCTCTACTCAACTTGCTTCAGCCGAGTGGCTTGTCCCAAATGCAAGTCTGACGCACTTGTGGCCTTTTAAAAACCGCTAAAGCCTCCCACCTTCCGGCCCCTGCTCCATCTTCCATTGCTGTCTCCTCCAAAGCATGAACTTCCTGCACGGGCAGAACACACCAGACTGCTACCTGCAGGCCTTCACAACGTGCACCTCTGCCTGGACACTCTGTCCTCAGCCTTCATCACCAGGATAATCGACTCATCTTCAAATCTCAGCTCAGATGGCCTTCCCCCAGGAAACTTCCCTGACCCTCGAGACTGGGTTGGCATGCCTTGTCTTAGCTTACGTTCCCCCCCTCCAAAGCAGAGCCTGAGGCAAGGATTGTGTTTTACGGGATATGATCCAGGGAGGCTGTGAGGGAGTGGGGAAGTGAGATGGGGAAGGGGAGGAGCCAGGACAAAGGGCATTATCAGGAAGGTGACCACTGTGGGCAGTAGGGGCTCAGTCCTGTTGGGGCCTCCAGGAGATAGTGGAGAACACAGCTCAGAGTTGTCCATCGGAGGGGGAGGCTGGTGTTTGTCCACACTCCCATCTATCATCTGCTGAGGGCTGTTTCCAGGGCCTCACTACTCAGCACATCCAGCCTGTCCCACATAGGCTTCCTCAGCTAGAGAACACCCCAGGCAGGGGCTGCTGGAACTGGGGCAACATGGGAATGCTGGCAGGGCACCGTCAGCATCCCCTGCAGCCCCACCCCCATGCTCACCAGTACCTCACTCATTATGGCAACTATCCCCCGTGTCACAATGTCCCATCAGCCCAAGGGCAACTTGTGGGTTGGCACTCCTCTTATGCTCTGCCCCCAGTGCCTGGCACATACTGGGCACCAATGAATACCTGATGACTGAATGAATCATACTCAGTGTCGCCCTTGGTCCACTGCAGATGTGCCCCAGGAGAACACGGCTCTGCCTGCTCAAGGGAAGCCTGGAGGCCCTCCACGCCGGCCAGCTCAGAAGGAAGGGTGAGCCCGAGACGGCCCACGGGCCCGGCCCCTGGCCCATGGACCACAGCCCTGGTCGTCCTCAGACTAGATTCCCCACCTCTTTCTTCTCCCCATCTCTCAGGTGGATGCCCCAGTTCATGCATCCCAGAGTCTGGTTCCTGTGGGAATCAGTCTATTCCTTCACTCTGGGGTGACAACAAAGGTGAGCTCAGAGTAGGGTATTTAAATGGTTTCTATTTCTTCGTATGTTTCTATATACTCAAAAACTCCCAAAGCAAACTGTATTGCTTTTTCAACTAAACTGTTATTTCAAGGTAATTGGCAATTCACATGTACTTATGAGAAGTGATACAGAGAGATCCTGTGTCACCCTCTGTCCAGTTGACCCCACTGGTAACATCTTGCAAAACTAGAGCATGACATCACACCAGAACACTGATGAAGGCAAGACACAGGGTATTGCCATCACCCCAGGATGCCCCATGTGCCCTTGGATAGTCGCACCCACTTCTCTCCCACCTCGGCCCCTCCTAGATCCCTGGCACCCACTACTCTGTTCTCCTTTTCTATAATTTTACCACTTGAAGAATATTGTGTGGGACAACTGGATAGCCACATGCAAAAGTATGAACCTGGACCCCTACATCATTTCACATACAAAAATTACCAAATTAGCTCAAAAGAGATCAAAGTTAACTCAAAATAGTAGATCAAAGATGTAAATGTAAGCACTAAACTATAAATCTCTTAAGAGAAAACATAAGTAAAGCTTTGGGACCTTGGATTAGGCAATGGTTTCTTAGATGTGACCCAATGACCTAAGGCACAAGCAACCTAAGAAAAAATAGAAAACCAGACTTTATTGAACTTTAAAACTTTTGTACTGCAAAGGACATCATCAAGAAAGTGAACAGCGATCCGCAGAACAGGAGAACATATTTACAAATGATCTATCTGATAAGGATCTAGTATCCAGAATATACACAGAACACAAACTCAACAACAATAACAAATAGATAATCCAATTGAAATATAGGCAATGGGTTTAAACAGACATTTCTCCAAAGAAGATCTACAAATAGCCAATAAGCACAAGGAAAGATGTTCAATGTCATTAGTCTTTAGGGAAATACAAATCAAAACCACAACGAGATACCACTTCACATCCACAAAGATGGCTACAATCAAAACATCAGATAACAACAAGGGTTGGCGAGACTGTGGAGAAATTCTAACCCTCAGGCCTTGGGGATAGAAAATCCAAAATGGGCGGTTTTCCACTGTGGAACGCTGAGGCAGCTCCTCACAGTGTTCAACAGAGCTGCCATATGACCCAGCATTGCTACGTACATTCCCGAGAGAAATGAAAGTACGCCTACATACAAACTCATACACAAATGATCAAAGCAGCACTAGTCACAATAGCCAAAAAAGTGGAAACCACCAAAAGGTCCGTCAACTGATGATGGATAAACACAACATGGTCCAGCCATATCGTGGAATATTACTCAGCCATGAAAAGGAGTGAAGCACTGAGACACGCTATAGTAGGGGTGAACCTTGAAAACATGGTGCTAAGTGAAAGAAGCCAGACACAAAAGACCATGTATGATAGGACTACATTTAGATGAAATGTCCAGAATAGGAAAAGTCAGAAAGTAGGTTAGTGGTTTCCAGGGGCTGAGGGAGAAGGCAAGGAGGAGTGACTGCTTAACAGGTTCAGGGTTTCTTTAGGAGGCGACGGAAAACCTCTAGAATTAGACAGTGGTGATGGTTGCACAACCTTGCAAATATAGTAAAATCGGCTGAATCATACACTTTCGAAAGGTGAATTTTATGGTATGTGAGTGACATCTCAACTTAAAAACCTCACTCACGTACAATTCTATGCTACTTAAAGTGAGACCCCCTGACACAGCTGCTAAAACCATTTCAGGACCTTGCACAGTGGGTCTGCCGTCCTCACAGAGGAAAGAGAAACCGAGGGACAGCCCCTCTACAGGCACCAGAGGTAGAGAGCAAGGCCTGCCTCCACAAAGGAAAATCAGAGGTTATCTTTAAAAACGTGGCCAGCTTAGAGTTTCACAAATAACATTTATTGACCACACTCCCCCCAGAATCTCACCCGCATTCACAGCAGCTCCGCTACAACCAAGAGTCACCCGATGATAAAGAATTCAGATTGGATCTCGGCTGTGAACCTGATCTTAGACAACAGTGGCTGTCACAGATCCTCCTGATCTGACGGCTTCCGGGAAAGACCTCAATTGTGACTGACGGCTTTGTTGATGTTCTCGACAGGAGCTGAAGATTCCAGCTTCAAACTCAGAAAAACTGGCTGGAAAGCAAAGAGAAAGGCAGTTAGCAGGAACTGTCCCCTGGGCCGAGACCACGCTGCCCTGGCAGGGCCTGTCAGGGAACCTCCGTGGGGTGGGGGTGGGGGTGCCCCCACAGTGGAGGGGGATGTCATCCTGGTCCCCAGTACATGCCGTCCCTGAGGAGCCCAGACAGGACAGGGGTTCAGTGAGGCGACACCAGGGCGCAGTCTTAGCTGGCTCCCTCTCCAGCTGTGGGACCTCGGGCGAGCCCCTCAGCCCCTCAGGGCCCACTTCTCCTTCTGGAGAGTCCCAGCTTTGCAGGGCTGTGAAAGGAATCGGATGAAATGAAGGCTACAAGTCCAGTCAAGAAGGCAAGTGCCTGACTCAGGGTCTGCTCTTCGGGGCTCCCTGTCGGAAGGCTCTGCGCTCGCCTGCTCTTCTGAGCCCTCTGCAGCTCTAGCAGGGCTCTGCCAGGCCAGCAGAGGGGCAGCTGGTGGCTTACCCTGAGATAATCTGGTCAAGAAGTTTGGGAGATCTCACAGGGCACCCAGCATACACCCGAGCCAGGCAAGATATTCCTCCTAAGCAGCTGGTTGGGGCCTGCACCTCTGCCCTAAGAGCCTGGCTCAGAAGGAAACACCTCCTATGAAATCAACAGCAATTTTCCTTTTGGCCTATCCTGACCCTCTACTTAACATGTACCATCTACAGTCAAGTGTCTTATTTGCTCTTCTCAGAGTGGGTACAGGGGAATCCAACTAAATTTGACATCGAGTTGGCAAATATACAAAGAAAGGTGAATCTTCATGAAAAGCAGAGATGGAAAATCTCAGGATGCTGCCCTATTGCTGTTCACAGATCAGGGAAAGCTGACGGACCCCACCGGCCCGTTCCGGGGCGCACTCGCCCTAGAGAGGCTGCGACCCAGGGCCACGTCAGCACTCGTACGCAGAGGTGCATCATGGTGTGGTTTGTATTGCCAGGGAGTCAGAGCGACATCAGCACCCAACACTAGGAGAATGGGTGAGCAGAACGCAGGGGAGAGGGACTTCCACTTCTGGCCATGAGGGGTGACAGACAGAGCTAACCTTTTGCAGTGAACAATTAGAAAACTGGGCAAAAGACACCTACAACTGTTCAGATACTAGACATTTTCTAGACCATTCCTCTTACAATTGTGTGGAGGAGACAATTAAAAAGCAAACAAGGGACCGGCTCCATGGCCGAGTGGTTAAGTTCACGCACTCCGCTGCAGCGGCCCAGGGTTCGGATCCTAGGCACGGACATGACACCGCTCGTCAGGCCACGTTGAGGCGGCGTCCCACATGCCACAACTAGAAGGACCTGCAACTAAGATATACAACTGTGTACGGGGGGAGGTTGGGAAATAAAGTAGAAAAAAAAAAAAAGAAAAAGAAGATTGGCAACAGTTGTTAGCCCAGGTGCCAATCCTTAAAAAAAAAAAAAGCAAACAAGACAATCTATGCAAATTTGAATTATGTACATTCGATACACATCGGCATATCTTCTATTTACACGTGTGTGTGTGTGTGTTTACATGCATCTACATTTAGGGTGATGGAAAGAACTGAGCAGGAAGCACTGGACAGGTGATGGGGGAGGGGCAGACTGGGGACTTGGAGGAGAATAAAGGAAGCAGCCAGGTAAGGGGAGGCCCTGCCATGACCTTGGGGTGACCTTGGAGGCCTAGTGGGGAGGGTTGAGGGGGCCTCCAGGTGAGAATCACGGGGCCTGGACAGGCTCGTGCATTCCAGGCAGGGAAGGGCTTTCCGAGTGGAGCCTCAATGGCTGGGGCCTGGCGAGAGGCAGCAGGTCCCCACGCCCGAGGGTGTGCTCAACCCCAGAGGGCTGGCTGGGCAAGCTGTCTCTAAGATCCACTTTCAACCCCTACATGACAGAAATTTACAGAAATTGGGACGGGTCTTCTTTTAGGGGCAGGGCAATTGTAGAACTTGGGAACAACGATGAGCTGAAGAAAGGTGGACAGGCCCCAGATGCCCAGCTCCCCCCATCAGCTCTGACCTCTCTAGATTGCTCTTCCAGTCCATTTGCTGGGATAAGAAGATATGTATGTCGGGAATGAGCAAGAGTCTGGACAATGATAACCACATTAAGAGCAATCATGGCCGCACCCACCTCTCACCATTCTGTTGAATTACAACCAAGATCTCCCACATTCTTGACTCCACTGAACCCTGCCAGCCCCTGGATGAAGCAGACAAGGGAATGACACCGGCCCGGGGCTACCATTGCCCCCAGCCCACACCTGCTCACCGAATGGCCACCATGACCCTCAGGACGGCCTGGAGGAGAGTCAGGAGGCTGAGGCTGAGGGGCAGGAGAGGCAGCAGAGAGGCTGGGGGGCTTCCTCCCCTCCCCAGGGCCATCGGCTCATCCTGGTAAAGGGCCTGCAGGTGCTGCCACTTGAGGAGGACGTGCCTGTCGCAGCAGATCCGCCAGCGGTTGTACCAGGAGCACAAGTCCAGGAGGGTTTCTAGGCAGAGAAAGCAAAACAAGCCCCAGACAGGGTGTGGGTACACAGTGACTCCCGAGTCTGTACACACAGGAGCACTCTCCAGAGCCCAGGGCAGGATAGCATGGTTAAAGGCGGGTCACCGCCCAGGGGGTGTGGACGCTGACCCAACGTTCATGAAGACGAAGAGAACACCGGTGTTTATTTCCAGGGCGATCAGGGGGCCTCGTGGCTGTGCTCTGAGTCTTTATCTTTAGAGCTGCACACTGAAATATTTATGGGTGAAAGGATGTGATATGTAGCTGGGGTTGCTCCACATTAAATCCTTGTCTTTATTTTCCAGGGTGGGGTGGATGGGGTGAGTGAAGCTCAGATGAAACCAGATTGGCTTGAAGCTGAGTGATGGGAACACGGGGTTTGGTGGGGTATTTGAAATGTCCCATAACCAAAGGTCATCACCGACCACAACCACAAATGGGATGCCAACATGTCCCTTTCCTAGACACTCTGTAGCTTTTGTGAGAACTGCTTTGGTCAACTTGTGACTCTCTTGATATAGTATCACTTACTTATTTTTATTACACTATTAACATGCTACTACTATAAAATGTACACTCTAATTATACTAATATAAAAACGGACTATTAACATAAAACATAATATATTTTCCTTATAAAAATTCTACTGCAAAAGCATAGAGAAAAAAAAGCACATGAGCCCCCTCTTTACAAGGAAAATACAAGATCAGAAATATGGATCTTCTCTTCAAAAAGGAAATCAGGGGGTTGGCCTGGTAGCATGGTGGTTAAGTTCGCGCGCTCCACTTTGGCGGCCCGGGGTTCACAGGTTTGGATCCCAGGCGCAGATCTAGTACCGATCATCAAGCCATGCTGTGGCAGTGTCCCCCATAAGACAGAGGAAGACTGGCACAGATGTTAGCTCAGTGACAATCTTCCTTAAGCAAAAAGAGGAGGATTGGCAACGGATGTTAGCTCAGTGACATCTTCCTCACACACACACAAAGAAGGCAATCAGCTGGATTTGAGGCCATGGGAAATGTCTCATATTTTCAAATCATTCTGTGTGAAGCTCGAGAAGAGAAAGACCCTGACTCTCCTGGTCCCAGGAGAGACTCGCGCTCCCAGTCCTGTCCTGTGAACACCTGTGGGGCTGGAACGGGTTTGAGGCTCCGAACATTATTAATATAAATTTGCCTGAACTATAAAACAATGACTGGAGTAAAGTTTAATACTGGTTTTTAACAATGTATCAGTTGATGCCTACGATTCAACAATAAACTGAGCTTTTAGCTTTCCTTAAAGATGCAGAGTATTCAAAGCCAAAAACAACTAATGAAAATAAACCCAGAAATGTGTGACTATCAGTTAGGAGAGCAGCTTCTCCTACTGTTCTCATCCCACTGCTGAGTGTTTTTTAACAAAGTGACCTCTGGCTCTTGGACCTGAAAGCTGAGCCACTGTCCTGCTTTCTGTTCTGTTCCTTATGTACCGCCCCAGGCTCTCTCGACCCACCCTCTTCCCCACAGGTCCCCCGTGACTGTCAGCTCACACACACTCTGCCCAACCTTCATCTACCGACACACAGGGCTTTGTCTTTGTAAATTTATATTAATGGAGTCCTATCATATGGGCTCCAGGTCGCAATGTGTCTGGGTGTCCATTTTGTGTCCCTGACAGCTGTGTACTCTACGTGGCAGGTGCCACATTTCAAATCCACGCCCACTTATGTCCATCCTCCCACTGAGAGACGCTTCTGTTGCTTCCTGTACTTTGCCAAAGAACTCAGTGCTGCAGACAAGCGTATGTGTGGGAGTGTCCACAGATGTTACCCAGATGTAGGCTTGCTGGATTAAAGATCACATACATTATAATTTGATAGAAACCTCCAAATTGCCCGCCACCAAAACTGTGACAATTTATGCTGCTCCTAATTGTGTTACTTTTATACTCAGGAAAAAAATAAAGTCGTGCGTCACTTAACGATGGGGATATGTTCTGAGAAATGTGTCATGAGGTGATTTCGTCGTTGTGTGAACATCAGAGTGCACTTACACACACCTAGATGGTATAGCCAACTGCACACCTAGGCTATGTGGTACTAATCTCGTGGGACCACTGCCGTTGACTGAGACGTCATTACGCAGTGCATGACTGTGCGTATCTTCTGCAGCCTGAAGAGGTGGGTGTGTTGGGTGGCCGCCATGCATTTCCCCAGAGCTCTCCCACCCAGCCCTGCACCCCTTGGCACTGGGCAGGCCGTTCAAATCACCCGCCTGTCAAAGGAACCCTGGTGTCAGTCATCCAGCCTCTCAGTGTCGTCCATTTCCTCCTTCACAGACCCAGTCGAGCAGTACTCACTATGCAGAGTCTGACCACCACACGCCAAGAAGGACACATGAGACAAGCCCACAAAACATGCCCACTCCTTTGCTCACAGACAACACAGAGAAAGGAGGCATGTCAGCCATCAGCGTGGGAAAGCGCCTTCAAAAGCAAGTCAACCCACTCATTTCATAGACGATGAAACTAACAGTCAGGGTGGAGATGCCACCTCCTCGTACACTATGACATGAGTACAGGAATATATATATATATATATATACACACACACACTGGGTCACAAATATAAAAATATATGAATATACTTTGTCATGAATATATGCTGCATCATGAACAAATGATTACGTATGCACTATGTCATAAATATATGAATATATGTATATACCAGGTCACAAACATGAATGTATGAATATACTGTAAATGAAGATATGCACAAATATAGTGTCATGAACATATAACGTGTTATGAATATATGAATGTAGGAATATGTACTATGTCACGAATACAGGAATATCTATGTGTATAGAACACACGCACACATACTATGTCATGAATTATAGAAAATTAGAGCTTAAAAAAAACACTTTAGATACCATCTAACTCCAGGTTGCTAACCGGCTTCATCCAGAAAGCCAATGCTGATAGACTGGTAGAGTCTGAGGCTTCTCTGGGCTCATGGGGGAGAGATGGTGGGTGATTAGTGATGCCTGGCGACTGCAAGGGTGGGAGAAGTGGTCTGTGGCTGTCTTTGTGAGACAGACGGCTGGGGATGAGAGAAGCATCCCCATCCCCATCGTGATCTTCATGAGACCCCTCCTTCCTTAGGGAGAGAGAGAGGATGAGACACGTGTACACTGAGTTACCTTGGACGCCTTGAAAACTCTGCTGCCTTCTCACCACCTATAAGAAAGAACGTGGGCAAAATGTGTCAGCCCCGGTGATCCACCAAGAGGGAGGCCTGTGGTTGGGCCTGGAAACCTCCCGAGAGGGTCTGTGGCCGGCTCAGAATGCAAGTCATGGTCTCCTTTTAAAGGGCCTCTGGGTCTTAATTCTGGAGACAGTTTGCTCCTCAATGACGGAAAACCAGCAACTGGAAAGTGAGTGAGATGGAAGGAAGCCTCTAACTTCCAGCCAGGACACTGGAAGCACGGGAAAGAAGGGGCTGAGGAGGTGACACCGGGCCCACCAGCCCCCGCAGCCGCCACCCAAGAACCCAGAGCTATGGAGGCCGCCAGACAGAGCCAAAGAGCAAGGACAGAAACTCTAAGCAACGGTCCTTCCCCGCACCCTCCCTCCATGCCTGCCAGGGCTGGGGGCTGTAAGTGCAGGAGGCTCAGACTGGGAGAGAGCTGGGTGACGGATGAGGGGCAGGGAAGGAGGAGGAAGGGAGGTGAGTGAGGTGGAGAAGCGGAGAGAGGAGGAGGAGGCAGGAGAGGAGAAGGGGGCAGCTGAGACAGGTGCCCTCTTCAAAGAGCAGTGTACCACCTTCCCAACAGCCACCAGGACACCTGAGCTGGTCCTCCCCACACACCGCTCACCTCCTGCACTCTGCTGCCCTCGGCCATGGCTTCCAGAGGACCCCACACACACACCAATGGAGGCCACGGCAGGAAAGAACCCAGCACCCTTCCCCCTCCTGTCGGGTCCCTCCGCAGGGCCACCCCTCACTCTCAGGCCTCGCTGCTGTAGGAACCTCCGTCTTACCTTCTTGGGAGATCTCAGGGCCTGGGGCACCCAGTAGGGCATCGCAGCCTGATTCCTAGGCACTGGGAGGCGGCCCCCAAAGTGGTGGCACAGGCAGAGGCATGACTTGGTGGCTTTGGGGATACAAAACCGCACCATCTTTTGGATCTAACAGAGGAAGGGAAGAGAAGGTCCAAAGGGAGATGGAGCCACACCCCAGACAACTTAGTGTGGGAGACAGGGCCCTGGGGACCTCCTCTTCTACATTCCTCCCACAAGCACACCCCAACCTCCTGGCTGAGGGAGCACGGTCTCTCCCTCACCACATTCCCAGGGGCGGGCGGCACGAGGACCTGGTGGTCCTCCTGCCCTTATTACCCAACGCCTGCACCTCTGTAGGCAGATGTGGCACCGTGGCAAGACACACAGTCTGAGGCGGGAGACCTGGCTCTGTCCTGAGCCCGGCAGCCTCCAGGAGCAACCCTTGGGCACAACTTTAGCCTCTCTGAGTCTCAGCGTCCTTGGCTATAAAGAGGGCTCTGCCAGCATTTTGACAACATTGGTCAGAGTCTAAAATGGACTGTTATTGATCCAGCAATTCCACTCCTGGGACTGCATCCTAGGAGGACACGGGTGTGTTTGCAAAACAACGTAAGCACAAGATCACTCATCACAGCACTGGCTGTAGTGACTGAACAGCCTGAATGCCCGTCAATAAGGGACAATCAATGACGGGACAGGAGACAAGAGGAAATAGGGTGGCCTTTAGAAAGAACAAGGTGGACCTGTCTGTCCTGACATGGGATGAACGCAGAGACACGATGTTAAGTGGGAAATGCAGCCTCGTGAGTACGGTATGCTACCATCTGCATTTTTGTTTATTTATTTATTTATTAATAATATAAGCTCATTCTTTACTTTTTATTTTTATTCATTTATTTATTTTTTTAGCAAGATTAGCCCTGAGCTAACATCTACTGCCAATCCTCCCCTCTTTGCTGAGGAAGACTGGCCCTGAGCTAACCTCTGTGCCCATCTTCTACTTTATATGTAAGACGCCTGCCACAGCATGGCTTGCCAAGTGGTGCCATGTCTGCACCCGGGATCCGAACTGGCGAACCCCGGGACGCCAAAGCAGAACGTGTGCACTTAACTGCTGCGCCACCGGGCCGGCCCCCTGCATTTTTAAAGGAAAGAATATATGTGCAATTTTCCTTGTATATGAGTTATGGGGGGTCACACTCTTGCCCCAATTCCTCACTCCTCCCCGTGGCTTTGCCCTTTGCCCTGCCACTCTGCAGTTCCTTCCAGGAGAGGGACAGGGTGGAGCCCACCCCTTGACTTTAGTTAGATCATGTGCTGGTCTGGCAATAAAATAAAGAGGAAGTGACAGCAGCTGGTTCCGGGCCAGGCCGAAGGGGCCTTGCAGGTTTCCAGCTGCTCTTGCATCTCTGCCAAGGCTACGAGGAGACCACGCCTGGGCCAGGTCCCCTGCCTCGAGACCAGGGGCAAGTGGAGGCAAGCTGCCCAGCAGAGCGCCCTCAGACTCAGGAGCAACGGCAGCGACTGTGGTTTCAAGCTGGGTGTTTGGGCGACTTGTGGTCCATCACTAGTGAAAGAACACACACGGAAACCTCCGGAAGGACACACAAGGAAGCCTTGGGGGGAGGGGCTGGGCAACAGGGGAGGGAGAATCAGGCTCGCGATGCCTCCTTCTACTGCTGCGACTTGCCAGCAGGTGCTCATGTCCCACATTCTAAGAAATAATAACGACTTTTGAGTGGACGCTCTGCCAGGAGAACTGGACTACAGCATGTGTGTGAATGTGCCACAAAGCACAGACGGCCCTGCAGGCAGAGGGGATGTGAAGGCTCAGACAAAGCAGGAGTCCCAAGGCCTGGAGACCCCAGGGACCCCGTCCACCTCTGTGCCTCTTGCCGCCAGGGCACGGGGCACCTCCCACCTGCAGCCCTTTGCCCCGCAGACAAGCAGCTGTCCAGTTCTACCCAGTCCGCCAGCACCTGCTACACGTGTTCTCCACAGCCGGCACCGCGCCAGGGGCAGACGCGACCCCGGCCCGCCCATGGCAGCTCACGAGGAAGCACCGTCCAGCGTGAGAGAATAAACGCCGGGAGGTGGGGGAGCAGAGGGGCTGGGAGAACATCAGGGCGATGAGGCTGTCCGAGAAAGGGCCACTGAGCCAGGTGGCGGAGGTGGGGGAGCAGCAGGTGCCGGTTTGAGGCCTCCAAGGACATGGGTAACAGGACTAGCTGCACCGGGCAGACCTCACGGGTTACCCACGCAGCAATCATTTCCTCCCTCTGGTTAAAACAACCCAATTTTGCCCATGGGGCAAAGAGCTCAGTCCCAAGGGACCAGCATGAGCCAGTCAGGGCTTTGCCAGGAAGGGGTCTGGGGGTGAGGACAAAGAGATGGAAGAGAGTCAGCTGGGGCTCTGGGAATGTTTTATCCCCGATAAGAAAGAGAGGATGGGAGAGCAAGCCTTCTATGCCGCCTGAAAAAGGACGACCTTGGAAACACTCAGTTTCTGCCATGTGCATCACAGTGAAGAAAGAAACCCATAGCCACCATCTGGAGACACTAAAGGTGACAGCACCAACACTCGAGCAGAAGGATGAAGAGTCTGGGACCTTGAAGACATTGTTAAGCCATAAACCAACCCTGGAGACTCCTCTCCCTCCCAAAGACCCTGGCAGAAACCACCGCCCATCAGTCTCTTTTCACCTGAGCCTAACCCCTCCCTCTGATGGAACAGGAGGCCAGGGGCAAGTGGAAAAGGGGCTGGAGAACCAAGCAGGGGCAAGATCGGGAAGGGCCCCAGGAGTCATGTCAGGGAGTCTGGGCCATATTCCAAGGGAAATGGGGAGCCACGGGGGAATGACAGGACCCAATCCACAGTTTTCAAAGCTCACCAGCAGTCGGAAATGGACAGTGAGAGCTAGAGAGGGTGGAGGCAGGGAAACCAGCTGGGAGGCTGGGGCCGTCACCACGATGGGACGTGCTGGGCACCCTGACTTCTACGTTCCTTCCATCCTGCTCAGGGTCATCTCCTCCCTGATGCCCAGCAGCACAACTCAGTGAAGCGAGTCCTGGACCCAGACCAGAGCCCTGGACTCTAATCCCCGATCTGCCGGGGACTGACCGTGTGGCCTTCGATAAGCCCCTCTTCCTCTCTGGACCTCAGTTTGCCCACCTGCTAAAGAGGATGATACTACTTACCCTGCCTGACTTTCGAATGACACAGTGACCACCAGCAGGGACTGAGGCTATCATCACTGCCTAGAACACTGTGACTCAGTCACCCTGATGCCACTGACCCCTTGGAGAGTCCATTAAAAAACAAGAGATGAGAGATTTGACATTCTATAATCACTGCAGAGTCTACTGACATCAAAAGGGTAATAGGAGAAGATTATGAACTATATTATGCCAACAAATTCAACAACACTGATGTAATGCACATTCTAACTCTTGAAGTTCACTCAAGAAGAAATGGATGACCTGAATGGCTGTGTCCACGAAGAAAATGACATCTGTAGTTAAAAACCTTTCCACACAGGAAGCTGCAGGCCCACAGGGCTTCACTGGCAAATTCGACCAAATGCTCAAAGAAGAAATAATACCAAGTCTATGCAACTTCTTCCAGAAAACTGAAAATGAGGGAATACTTCCCCACTCACTTTACAAATCCAGCATTAATATAGCACGTCTAAGTGGGGTTTATCCTAGGAAAAGTTGGCTTAACTTTTGAGAACCAATCAATGCAATTCATCATATTAAAGCAAAAAAGAAAAACCATATGATGATTTCAATAGATACAGGAAAAATCCAACATTCATTTCTGATAAAAACTCTCAGCCTACTAGGAATAGCAGGGAACTTCCTCGGCCTGATAAGAGGCATGTAAATTTACAGCTAACATCATGCTTAATGGTGAAAACCAGAATGCTGTCTTCTAAGATCAAGAAAAAGACAAGGCTGTCTGTCTCCCCACTCTATTCAACAGTGTACTGGAAGTTCTAGCCAGTGTATTAGGCAAGAAAAATAAATACAAGGCATCCAGATTGGAAAGGAAGAAATAAAACCATTTCTATCTGCAGATGACATGATCATCTATGTAGAAAATCCAATGGAATCTATAAAAAAGAGGTGCTAGAATAAATGAGTTTAGTAATATTGTGCAACACAAGATCAAAATACAAAAATCAATGGTAGTTCTGAATACAAGCAATCAGCAATCAGAAACTGAATTTAAAAAACAGTGATCAAAAATATGAAATAGTTATGAATAAATATGACAAAAGATAAGCAAAACCTGTATACTAAAAACCAAAAAATATTACTGAGAGATATTAAAGAAGATCTAAATAAATACAGAGATTACCATGTTCATGAGTCAGAAAACTCAATATTGTTAAGAAGACAATCCTCTTCAAATTGATCTACATAGATGATCCCAATCGAAATCTCAGTAGAACATTTTGGTAGAAATTGACAAACTGATTCTAAAATTCACATGGAAATGCAAAGACCCTACAATCAGGAACTTTGAAAAAGAAAAACAACATTGGAGAACTAATGTTACCTGATTTCCAGACTTTTCTTAAAGCCACAGTAATCAAGACAGTTGGCACTGGCATGAAGATAGACGAGCAGAGCAGAATACAGATCAGAAACAGACCCAAACATATATGGATAACTGATTTTTGACAAAGGTGCAAAGGCAAGTCAGTGGAGAAAGGATGATCTTTACAACTCATGACGTTAGAACAACTGGAGCTCCACACGCAAAAAAATCAACTTCAATCCGTATCATACACATATCTTGTATATGGCCATATCATGCCATATACAAAAATTAACTTAAAATGGGCCAAAGATCTAAACATAAACTGCAAACCATAAAACTTCTAGAAGAAAACATAGGAGAAACACTTCTGACCTTGGGTTAAGTGAAGCCTTCTTAGAAATGCTTAGAAAGCATGACCAATGCTGTGCTGGGGACCGGCACATCTAAGCAAGATCCAGAAAAGATCAAATTGATATATTAGACTTCATCAAATCTTAAAACTTCTGCTCTTTGAAAGACACTAATAAGAGAATAAAAAGACAAGACAAAGACGGAGAAAACATTTTCAAGTTGAATATCTGATAAAGAACTTGTATCCAGAATATACAAAGAACTCTCACACCTCGGTAATAAAAAAAATACCCAATAGGGGCCGGCCCCGTGGCTGAGTGGTTAAGTTCGCGCGCTCCACCATAGGTGGCCCAGGGTTTCGTCAGTTCAAATCCTGGGCGCGGACATGGCACCGCTCATCGAGCCATGCTGAGGCGGCGTCCCACATGCCACAACTAGAAGGACCCACAACTAAGAACATATAACTATGTGCCTGGGGGCTGTGGGGAGAAAAAGGAAAAAAATAAAATCTTTAAAAAAAAAATACCCAATTTCCCTAAATGGGCAAAATATTTGAATGGACACATATCAAGTAAGATATGCAGATGATAAAAGCATATGAAGAGACCCTCAACATCATTAGTTGTTATGGAAATACAAATTGCAACCACAATGAGATACACACCTATTAAGATAGCCACAATTAAAAAGATTGACCAAAGCAAGTGTTAGCGAAGATGTGGAGGAACCGGAACTTCACCCACTACTGGAGGAAATGCAAAATGCACAACCACTTTGGAAAATGGCTGACAGTTTCTTAAAAAGTTAAACATACACCTACCATATGATGCAGAAATTCCATTCCTAGGTATCCCACCAAGAAAAATGAAGGTGTGTTCACACAAACACTTCTACACAAATGTTCATAGCAGCTTTATTTGTAGTAGACAAAACTGGAAATGCTCCAAATGTCCTTCACTGGATGAATGGATAAACTGCGGTCTATTCACACAATAGAACACCACTCAGCCCTAAAAAGGAATGAACTATGGACACACGCCACCACGTGGATGCATCTCAAAAGTAACCGTGCTGAGTGAAAGAAGCCAGACAAAAAGAGTGCAAACTATATGATTCCATTTATATAAAATTCAAGAAAAGGCAAACTAATCTATAGGGACAGAAACAGATAAGTGGTTGCCTGGGGACTACAGGGCAGACAGGGTTGGGTGGCATTACAAAGGGGCACAAGGAAACCTTTTAGGGTTCTGGGGATGTATGTTATCTTGATTGTGGTAGTGGTTTCATGGGTGCATACATATTCAAGACATCAAACTGCACACTTTACATATATGCAGTTTATCATGTCAATAATATCTCCATAAATCTGGTTTAAAAAATCACAAACTGTCTCCCAGAAACTTAAAAATATCATTCACCTAATACTTATGACTCTGAGGGATGTCTGGTCCCCTGAAATTCACCCTGGACCCAGGTAAAGAACTCCCAGTTCAGGTCACCTACCTGCTTTCGGGGTCTCAGGGACAGAGGGACCCAGTAAGGCAGCACCGCCTCAGCCCTGGGCACCGGCAGACGGCCCCCGAATTTGGTCTGGCACTCACAGCAGACGGCCTCTTGGAGAATAGTGCTGGGGACAGGGCACATCTGAGCAAGAGCCAGAAAAGAGAGTTGAAGGTGATGCTGCATTTACAATGGGAGCCAAGGAGCTCTCTGGAATACTAAGTCAATGCTCAGAGGAAGCCTGGGTTGAGACAGGGCATCCGGGAGCAGGGACAGTGGCCTCAGCTCCTGCAGCTCAGAAAGAGCCAGGCTACCACGGCTGCCCCGTGACCCTCCAAAGTCGTTTAGAGGGGGACCACTAGAGCGTGCAGACCAGGAGGCTGGGATTTGTGACAATTACCGTGCACAAATCTCAGGTTCCCCCTCTGAAAATGGGGAAATACACCCGGCTCTAGTGGGGACATGACTGCCCTTTTTGTGGTTATCTGTGTCAATCTGCATACAGGGCTTCCACATCCATCTGATGTGGTCCCCATCGCACCTACAGACAGGAAGGAGGGGAAGGCATCCTCTCCAGGGGCAGATGAAGCAGCTGATGCCCACTGCGGGTACACTAAGGGGCCGCGTTGGCTCTCCCAGGCCGCCTGAATCCCTGTCTCAAGGTGTCATGAGGAGTTGGGTGAGAGGAGGCAGCGGGTGAGGCCATATAGAGATTTTGCGGGCTCGGTGATGCCCCTGCAACCATGGACTCCTGTGTCTGACACGTTCTCTCATGAGATGCTCCTTCTGGACCCACATTCTCTGCTCTCCCCACCCCACAGGGGCGTGTCAGGGCGTGTCAGCATAGTGGACGGTCTGCTTTCCTTACCACACGATCTGTGAGACACACTTCTTTCCTAAAGGTTTGAAATGTGCTCCTCCTAGAAAAAAAGAACAAGAAAGCTTAGAAAGTTCTGGGCTTTGTGTAAACTGGGGGGGCAGGGGTGCTAAGGTGAGGGCCTGGGCCAGCCTTCTTGGAACTGACCCATATCATTAAATCCCAGGGGTAGAAGGGGTCATCCTTCTGAGGCCAAGAGGAGGCAGGAAGTGATGACAGAAGCAGTGTGTGCAAGCTCCCAGATGTCAGACTGCTGTGGAATCCTGCATTCCCGAATCTACTTGCTTCTGGCACACTCCAGCTAAACTTGTGCTAGGCCCTTCAGGAACATCCAACCTGACGAGAACCTTCCAAGACGTGGAGCTGCCAACCACATCATCTAAGATGCTTCATCAGACGCCCCAAGCTTACTTGCAATACTAAAGAGAAATGTTCTGAAAACTGTACATTTAATGAAACTCCTGGTATAAAAACCCGGGTGCTTTGTCTCTGGGATGACAAAACATTTGAGGCTAAACAGACCGTTACTGTTCCCCACTCTCCCCACCAACAAACTGCTACAAGGTCGGTCATATGGAGAGTGTCCAGAGGGCATGAATCCAACACCAAGCGAAGCCTGGTGGCCCTGACGGCGATGTGTCAAAGTGCTTTGTAACATGCAAACTGGAAGAGTGGGACATTTTTGTTTCATTGTTATAACAATCATGATTATTGCAGCTTCATTACAGCAACAGCTTCAGGTCAATGAGCTCAACCCTCCCAGCTGATGCCTGAACACAGTAATGACAGCTTTGCTGTTTGGGGGGTCAGGGGGTTGGGGAGGGACACTCATCCCAGTCCAATGAGTCCAAGCGGGTGCGAATCCCCCACTCCGCGCCCAAAGCCGAGGCCCAGCTCCTCTCAGATATCGGCTCAGAATGGTGTCCTAACTCAAGTCGGCCCAAGGAAACTCATTCTGGGGCTCAGGGCTGAAATTACTAGGAAAGAGAATCTCCTTTTCTGTTGAGGTTGTAAGCTTCCAGAGGTCTTGGTGGTCATCTTGCCTCCGGGAGGGAAGCCAGCACACAGGAAAGCAAACTGAGAAATGGAAGCAGTCCTTGACCCCAGTCCTTGAGCATCCGGATACATCCATGCCTGAAGACCCGCCCCAGACATTCTCACTAAAACAATAAATTGTCCTTTGTGCTTATGTCGATGCAGGTGTGGTCCCTGTCCTATGTGGTACAAGCTACTACTGGGACCGGGGTTAACAAGCTCTCCCAGGTGATTCGGGGGCGCTGGGGCTCCCCCAGGTGTGGTGTCCCCGGCCCGGCCTGCGAGACTCGGGGACGCACTTGCCCGTCACGACGCGCTCGGAGTGCGAGTGAGCGCTGACAGACCAAGCGGGCACCGGAGGGCTCCCGGAAGTGCCCGCCGCGGCTCAAATAAGGTCGTGGTGATGGTGGTGACGATGACCATGGTGACGAGAGGGACGAAAGCCGGGGCTGGCTCCCACGCGCGCCACTCGTACGCTAAGGAGCGCTCTCAAACGCAAGCAAGGCGCCGACCCCCGAAGCTCCTCCCCTTCCGCTCGCCCCACTCCGAGATCGGGCCCTTCCGCTTCTGCTCGCACGGCCCCACCCCGCTGATTGGTCCGCGCTCAGCCAATCAGACGCTTCCTTCTAGGCATGTGCACTTAGCTGGCGGCTGATTGGCCCCTGGATGCACAGGCCTCGGGGTCGCGGGTCAGCGGGTCAGCAGGGCTGGATAGACCTGAAGCGGAGCGCAGGAGAAACCCGGCGCAGGAGACTCCTCGCGCGGTTCTCCCGCAGTCGGCCCCGGAAGCTGCCCTCCCCCGAGCCGGGAAACCCACTCACCATTTCCGACGGGTGGGCCTGCGGGGCCGCAGGGCGCGCCAGCCGGGGCCTCGGTCCCCTGGAAAGAGAGAAAGAGGTGGGTCCGCTTCCCCGCTGCCGTGCGGTGGCGGGACGGCGGCTCGGGGCCGGTTTCGGGAAGGACAGAGCACCTCTGAATATCGCACGCCGTGCTGGGGACGCACTTGTGTTTAAAGTCGTTGGTTGTGTTTCGGAAATGCAGATCTAAGTGGGCGATCCGCATTGCACTGCTAAATCTGCAACCCGACCGATGGGCTCACAGTGTGACTTTTAGAGAAATGCGTGGGTCTTGAGCAACCTGGGGTTTAAAAGGCCACGGAATTCAAAACCGCTGTCCTCCAGAGGGTCCCAGTGCTGTTTGAACTCTCTGGCCTGTCTTCCTCTGCCTCTTAGTCTCCCCTTCCTCCACCCTCGCTCCTGCCGCGCGCACGTGTGCGCTCGGGACAGTTGCTGAAATGCAGAGGCCTTAAGTCTTCACATTTTCCTAAAACGAAATGCTTTCTGCCTATGTTCCTTTACTTTATCACAAACTCCAAATTGTATTTCTTGGAATGAGTTAGTTCTCACTTCTCAGTATTTTCATGCTGACTTTAATACTGTCGATTAATATCGATATCTGTCCAAACCATCGTAAGCAGCTCTAGCCCTAATGGGCGGGTGACACCTCAGTGTGCTACGTTCTAGTCATGGACAGACAGGCCCTGCTCGGGTTTCTTGGCTCCGTTATTTAACTGCGGTCATGACCAAGGAAGGTCATGACCTGTGAACAGGGTTGAGCTTCCAGCCAGTACACACATGCATGCTCTCCTGGCCGGCAGCCCTGCTGATGGGGCAGTGCCCATATCATATTAGCTGCTGAATATTTCAGACGCCACCCCCTGTATATGCGTGTGCATAAATAATGTCATCACTGGTCTCTTAATAGCTAATGACAAAATTATCTGGGAATTTCGCCATTAGCCTAGCATTTTATTTATGGCTGTCTCACCTCTACCCGCTGTGGAGCTCTCTTGGCTTCCCTGCCTTCTCCATTATCCCTCTGAGCCCAGTGGAATATCGCTGTAGTGTAGAAGACAGGCTTGTGCCCCTGTGGAAGCTCGGGTCCTCACCACTGGGACACTGCCTTGCCATTTCATGTCAAGAATAGCTCATCATGATCCCCATCCCCCCCAAGAAATTAAAAGGAGTAACTAAAATTAAAAGGACTAACAATACCAAGTTTACCAAGGATGTGGCACCTGGAACCCTCATACATTGCTCATGAAATTGATACAACCATATTAGCAAACCGTTTGGCAGTATTTACAAAACCTAAACATATGAATACCCTGTGACCAAGCTATTCCTCATGTGGGTATACACCCAACAGAAATGAGAGCTTATGTCCACCAGAAGACATGGACAAAAAGATCCACAGCAACTTTCTTCTAGCAGTTCCAAACTAGAAATGACCCAAATGTCCATCCATAGGAGGAAAGATTTTAAAAAGAATTTATGGCATATTCACATAGAGGAACACTACATGATGATAAGAAAGAACACACAACCACAATCCACAACAATGTGGACAAAGCACACAGATAAGCCAGACCCCAAAGCGTGCGTATGATTCCATGTGTACAGTGTTCAAAGCCAGGAGGGCAAACCCATCACCTCCAGGGCTGGGGATCCAAAGGAGCCCCGCTCCCTGCCGCAGTGTCAGAGTGACAAGGCCCAATCCCAGTGCTGGCCCTACCTCTTACTGTGTGGATCAGGCAAGTCCCAAAGGAAGCCTGAGAAGAGGAGAGAAGACAGCCTGAAAAGCGCTTGAGAGGCAGGCACGGAGTGAACAGTTGCAGGTCAGCTGTCACTACATGAGTGTGGCAGGATCATTTTTTCCCTTTCCCTTCCCACTTCATGCAGAGGTTGGCTCGCTGCCACTGCCTCAGGGGAGGGAATTGGGACCAGCAAAGCCTGTGGCTGCCAAGTCTCTGCCTGGCTTTTGTTTCCAGGGCCTCCAGGTAGGGGAGGGGGGAGCAGAGCAACAGCTCTCAGTCCCGGAGTCGTGGTGCAGTTGTGCAGTGGGTTCACCAACCAAGGGTCCCTGGCTGAGAGGTGAGTGGGGCTTGCGTTTAGCCTGCACTCCGCTGGCCACATCACACACTCGGGCCTGGGCCTGCGCCTGCTCAGAGGGGCCAACTTATATCACTTACCCAGGAGCACACTGGGCTGCTGGTGGTGCTGCAAGGGCCTGACAGCTGAGCAGCAGGAGCCACCAGACTAGAGGGAACCATCCGACCTGGCTAGACAAGGATGGAGAAGAGGCGGGCCGTGGAGCCAGTTGCAGCCAGCACCTCTCCATCCCCCTGGCAACGCTCTCACTTGCTGATGGCTGCCAGTGCCTGACGACTGGTCACCAGAGACTCTCCTGACTCGTGTCTGGGGGCAGGTCAGGAGTGCGAGGGAAGAATGCCCCTGAGAGCAGCCCTCAGCAGTGACAGGAAGGTGGATGTATCCCAGCTTCTACACTGCAGGCGGAACAACTCGGGTATGCTCCACACTGTCGCCCCTCGTCCGCACGAGACTGAGCCCCAGCTTGCTGCCCCTCTTGATGATTCCCCTTGTACTGGTCCCTCGCTCCCCACCTCACCCCCTACCTGCCTACCTGTGTTTCCGTGATCATCTCGCCAATATAACCTACCTGCAGATTCTCATCTTGGGGTCGGCTTTCGGGGGAACCACAACCAAGACAGCCCCTTCCCGCCTCCCCCCCAACCGTCGCCTGCAGCCTGGAGGGGTTTGTCACAAAGCCTCATGCTGCCTGCCATCTGTGCCATAGCCTGGGACAGAGCCCAGAGCCAGGGCCAGCTGTGCCCTCGGAGAGCTGGTGGCACAGGTGGAATCCCGCCGGTCACCCCTGCGTGTGGTGAGGGTGGCAGGCTGCAGCAGCATGAGGCCGAGTGAGTGCTAACGAAGGCTTTTAAGAACCCTGGGCGGATGCAGGGAAAGGAGCAGGACGCAGGGCAGCAGGCAAGGCTGATGTCAGGCTTTGGAACACCAGGACGGGGTGTGGGATGTTCTTTCTCAGCCCCTTGTTCCAGACTCTCGGTTTCCCAAAGATTTGAACCTCCTTGCAGAGGGAAAAGAAAGGAGCCTGCCATCCGCTGCAAACAAGGACTTGACCCCACAGTTAGGAGCTGTCATTGACCCTCTCCAGGCATTGGGAAGGCTGGGGTTAGGGACAGATTGGGGACACCTCTGTGCAACTTGACAGAGCTGGCTGCTGAGACAAAGAGCCCAGTGCCCCCCCCAAGTGGTGGGTCACAGCCCAGCCCCTAAGGCCCTGTGGGTGAACAGAGAGCAGGGGAGAGACCATCCTGCAGAAAGGACACTGTCCTGAGTGTTACCCCAGCCACCACACAGCACTGCCCCTGAGGGCCACGGCTGGAGGACTGCCACTTCCCATTCATCTACACCTTTCCGCCTCCATATCTTTGAGAATGTTACTACAAAAGCACGTACTGCTAAAAAAAGTTGTGATTTTTTGAAGTTGGCTTGTTATTTCAGGATAACCTTGCCTAATTGACCTGTGACAGACATTTGAAAGGAGTTCTACAAATCTAGCTCCTGTAGGTTAAGTAAAAATGTGATTTTTAGGGGCCGGCCCCCTGGCTAAGTGGTTAAGTTTGTGTGCTCCGCTTTGGCGGCCCAGGGTTTTGCTGGTTCGGATCCTGGGCATGGATGTGGCACCGCTCATCAGGCCATGCTGAGACGGCGTCCCACATAGCACAAGCAGAAGGACCTACAACTAGAATATAAAACTATATGTACTGGGTTGGGGGGGCTTTGGGGAGAAGAAAAATAATAAATAAAAGAAGATTGGCAACAGATGTTAGCTCAGGTGCCAATCTTAAAAAAAAAAGATTTTTAAAATCTAAGAACTGTGATTTTTAGATTTTCGTGTCCCTCATCTCTCAGGTTGAGCAAGGTCACTCAGGTTGAGCAGTCCCTTCCCAGCCCGGGTGACACCAGGCGCTGCTGACTTGTGTCATTGTGTTCTGTGTGAACGGCACCTCAACACAGGACTCTCACTTCACCCCATCGAGGGCCCTGCATTAGGTTACCAGTCCCCTGGTGGACGTCATCCCGTGCGACTCTGCTGCCCTAAACCTTACCTTTACCTCCTGGGGTCACAGGCTTCATTCTTGCCCTTATGCTCCCCACCTCTCCGACAGTGACATTCTAGCGTTCCCTCTTCCATAAGCTGTGTAACATCAGCATCTTGGCCTCTCTTCCCTTCTTCACTGTGTCTTGCGATCTGCCAGGGAACACAGTGCCATTGTCACTGTCATCCTCACCATCGTCAGAGTCCTACGAAAGGGCTCTGCCCAAGCCAGCCAGCCAGGCTCTGGGAGTGTCTGTTCATTTCCAAATGCCTGTCACCATCTCAGCCCCGCCCCCCAGGGCACCCAGCACCCACATCCTAGTGCTTTCCCTGAGATCCCCGAAGCGTCCTCTAGGACAAGAGGGCTTCCATGCCTGTGTGCTGCGCTGGTGCGCCCTGGGAAAGCTGGCTTCCAATAGAACTGTGGAACGTTGGCAACGGGAGAAGCTCCATGGCGACAAGGCCATCCACCAGGCTCAGGCAGCCTCCGGGGTCAGCTCCCAGTCTGGGATCCTGCAGGGAGCCTAAGAAGGACAGGAATTGCGTGTAGGTCCTCGCCGGCCTCCCAGGCCTGGTCCATGGGGGTGCGCACAGTGGCTCTCTGGACGACTTGCCTGCAGAAGGGCCGGCCTGCCCATCCACTCAGGGCTCAGGGCTCCCTTCTCTACCGTCTGAGCCAGCATCCACACACCTCTTGTCCACTGAGTGGTCACAGCAGCTCTGTGAGGTGGGCTTCAGGCCTGAGCCACTAGCAGGTGGAGCCCCCTAGCCACCGTTTGGGCCAGTGCACACAGAGGCCAGAGCAGAATCAGCTCTAAGGCCCAGCTCTTCTCTTTTGTTCCCCCCACCCCAGTCTAGTCGTCCATGACTCCTCACTCAGGCTCTGGTCACTTCCCAGGCCATGTCAATTCTAACAGAACCCCTGCAGCAGCCTCCTGCGGGGACCTCCCACCTGCGCCTTCCTCGCTTACAACCCGTCTCAACAGGGCAGCCGAGCCATCTCCTGAGCCTGCTCAGAAGTCTAGGGGCTCCCAGGGGGCTCAGAGGGCAAGCCCTGGTCCTCACTCTATCCACAGGGCACCGTGTGATCTGTGCCTGTGTGAATACAAGCACACACGTGTGCACATGCGCACAGACCCACACAAATGCACACAGTACATATCAACAGTGTATCTGTGGTACTAAAATTTCATGGAAAGTATTAGGAAAAAAAAGTCTAAAAAGACTCCTTAGAGGGAGATGATAATGAAAAAGAAGGCTGAGAAGCACTGCTGAATGAAAGAAGCCAGACTGAAAAAGCTACATACTGTACTATTCCGTTTATTTGACATTCCAGAAAAAGCAAAACTATAGGGATGGAGAACAGATCAGGGGTGGCTGGGGGGTGGATGACAGCCATGAAGGGGCAGCATCAGGGATTTTGAGGGTGATGGAACATTCTATATCTTGATTAAGGTGCTTGTTCACAGCTGTATGTACTGGTCAACTCAAAGAAATGTACACACACTAAAAACACAAATTATACCTCAAAAACCTAACCAAGAAAAAAAAAAAGACAGCTCAACCCTTTCTCACTAAAGTGCAAAGGACAGCTACTTGTTTAAAAAGTTCCGTGAGGGACTTTCTCAGGAATCCTCTTCCCAAGAGATGCTAGAAAAGGAGAGGTTTGTTATGCAGCAGCAGAATCCTTTGGGGAGTTGGCAAAACCATGAATGCTCAAACCCTGTCCCCAGAGATCATAGTCCAGCATGCCAGGGCTGGGCAGGCATCTCGCTCCTGCTAAGCTTCCTGGTGGCCCTGAGCCTCACGCCCCCACTCTCACCCCATGGGGAGCCATCCCACTGGCCCGAGTGGCAGACAGTGCTGCACAACAGCCATCGCCACCTCCTGACCACAAGGAGCCAGAGGAAATGCATGAGGTGAGGTGGCCCCAGTACTGGGAAGGAGCCACGACTCTGGAGCATTGCCAAGACCTGGGTCCTGGGCCCCTGCTGAGGTTCTGGGAGTGATATCCCCCCAGTTAGAGAAGGAGATGGGTGAGGACACAGCGCCGCGCCGGGCCAGGCGTCACCCAAGCGAGGCGCCACAGATCCACCTGTGCCCACTTCCATCTCGGCCTTGACCCTTTACTGCACTGGGGATAGACTACACCCTGATGCGACGCTGAGGGTCAAGGGGAGGCCACCTGAGCCCACGTTGGGGATGCTCCGTGCTGTAACCTGCGCAGGACTGAAACCCTGCCACTTGTTCACCGCTGTGTCCCCAGGGCTCAGCACCCTGTTTGGGGCATGGAGGTGCAGGTACTGCACTGGTTCTCCACGAGTGACTGCCCCCAGGGACACTGGCTGCGTCGAGGCGTTTGGTTGTCACGATGGAGGAGGCCAGGGATGCTGCGGGGTGCCCTACAGTGCACCTGACAGCCCCAGCACGGAATCACCCAGCCCCAAACATGGAGATGGAGGGCCCGGGGGAGAGGCCCCGCTCAAATGAGCAGCCAGGGCTCAGGACTGAGGAGCACTGCGGTCACGCCTGGCTCCCCCTGAGCATCTTGGGTCTGCGGCTTGGCCTGGGCTGCAGGCACGTAAACGTGCCTACAGGGGAGAGCAGGACCATCTAGGGCTGGACCTGGCCACCTGAGCTGCTTCTTAGGCCTCCCTGTGGGGCCCCCACGCGTGTCCTGGGCGGTTTGCTGCCTCTCCCCTCTGATTCTGCTCACCGAGAAGCACCTGTTCACCCCAGAGCAGGGCAGAGAAGGGCCCGGGCATCGCACAAGAGCCGGCAGGTGTGGGAAGGGGAGTGCCAGGTGCCCACCCTCCCCCATGAGCACAGCGTTTGTCCCCAGCGACTGTGCGGGGTCTGAAAACCATATTCTTGGAAGGAGCCAGAGTGGCAGCCTTCTATCACTGTTGGATTTTCAGGTCAAAATGGGGGGGTAGGTCTGAAAACTTTATGCAAGTGGCTTTTCTTTCTTTGCAGCGTTCGCCTTGCTGGCTGGGCTCACGCACAGATGCAGTGACCCTAAATCCCCACTAGAGGTCAGGCTACAAAGTCCTCTCTTGAGGGGGCGGAGGGGAGATGCCACCTACACAGCCCTCTGTGAGAAGGGACCCAGGCCGCCCTCCAGCCAGCAGCAGTGTGACACCTCAGGGACAGTGGGGCTAAGCGACCCCTCAGCTCTCCCGGCCCGTCTGGATGGGAACATGAGGTACTTTTACTTTCTATGTTAAATATTTTAATTTTTTACAAGAATATTACTTTTGTAAACAGGAAAAAAAAAAAAAGATACCTCAGATCCTCAGCTGTAAGCCCAGCGACGGCACAGCGCCTGCCCTGTCTACCCTGCTCTCAGAGAAGGCAAACTCACCGACTTCAGCCTAAGAAAATCCACAGTGGCCCACACTCCCTCAGGGCCACCTTGTGACATGGGGATGGGGACACATGTCAGCTGAGGTCACAGGGAGGGATCCAGGGACCTACCGGGGTCTGAGTTCCAAGGGCTCACTTGCCGCTCTGTTCCATGATGGAAAATCAAAACTTCACAGGTTGAGACTAGGTGTGCGAAGCGCAGGCTCCCATCCGCGATCCAGGCCCCTCCCTCAGCCCGCAGCCCCCTCCCACAGTGTCCCCTCCTGCATCCAGAGCCCAGGATGTTTAAGGCCCCAGCCTGCATCTGAATCACATCCCAGAAGAAACAACAAAGCACACAACAAGGTTTCAAAAACTGATTTATGGAGAAACAACCCTGCACAGTCATTCCTGTGACCATGCCCAGTGACAGTGTCGGGGCCCCGGCTCACAGCAGCTGCTTCCTCAAGTCCTCCCCAGCCCCAGCCCCACCCGGCACACCCCAGTGGATGACTGAGTGACCAGGACTCTTCCCAGGGCATGGCGTTTCAAGATCAAACAGCATAAATGTTTTTCTTCGCCAAGTTGGCTATATGATCTCAAATAAAAACCAAAAGTAAAATTAGGCTGAAAAAGCAAAAGGTTCTGAGCCCTTCGTGTGTTTTGCCTGGCCTCCCTGTGAGCACGGGAAGGATGAGAAGAGGGCCCGCCTTCCTGCTGGAGCCCCACCAGCACCCATGCCCCCCGAAGGCTGGCCTGCAGGCGGCTGATGACCCAGTGCTAGCCCAGTCATTTGCCACCTTCTCGTTCCCAGTCACACTATCAGGCAGACTGACGGCATTGTTTCTACTCTCTAAACACTGTCAGGACGTGGAGTCAAAGCACATTCTAGATCTTCTCCCATAAAAGGACAGAGGTAGCTATGTTAACACCGGGATTGACCATGAATGGGGTGTTTTATGCTCAAGCCAGAGGAGGGTCACGTGAGAAGGCTCCTGTCAGCATCCTCAAGAGTTAGAGCATGAAAGTGGCAAAGAGAATACGAGGGTACCAAACTAACATGGTCGCCCTCCCCAAGCACTGAGTCAGATTTCAGGTTGCTCGGTTCTCCTACATACCAAGGTGTGTACCGACAGCGTGGTCACAAGGAACTCGAGAAATTCTCAGATTCCTGTGACCAAGTCCACCAAATGACAAGGGGACCGAGGTTTCTGTACCTCTGTCACTGCTCACGAGCACTACAGAGTGACCTCACAGTGGCAGTGTGAGCAAACCTGGGCAGCCCACAAATGGAACACCAGCCCCTCGGTGGTGTCAGGCGGAGAGGACTGGCTGGCTGAGGAGGGGGTTCGGCTGTCTGGGCTGCAGCAGTGAACGGCTCCGCATCCTCGGAGGGAGTCTGGCATGCCACCTCGGCCTCTGAGCTCCTTCTGCATGATGCGGGAATGGAGGCCACCTGCATCTGGCTGGGGTTAGACCACTGCGTGTGCTCTGCCACCCTCCGCATTGCCAGGAGGACTTTCCAGGGCTGCAGGCACCAGCACTGAGCTGCCTGGTGTCGGGCCAGGGCGTTCGGGAGAGAAGGAGCAGGGCAGCCACAGGGAGCCAGCAGACCAGACAGAGGGACGGCCAGGAAGGGAGGTCCCAGTCTGGACTGAGGAAGGAAGGATTCTGAAACAATTCCACCACCACAAAGCCTCCAGCCCTGTTCAGTCAGCAGCAGGCAGTGGGGGTCTGGGCCGGGGCGGGGAGCAGATGTAACCGGACACTGCCAGGCCTGCGGCCCCTGGCCGAGAAGAAAGGTCCCCTGCAACAGCCTCCTGCAGTGAACACTCAGCCCCGATACAGAAGACTCTCCAGTGACTGTGTGAAACCTCCAGTCAGTCTCCAATCACATCGCTGCCCATCGAGCAGCAGAGAGCAGAGTGTGTCCCGTATGTGGAGAGGCACCTGAGGCCCTTCCGTCCCACAGACACTGACCCCACCTCACAGCAGCCAAGCGGCAAGTGCAGGTGGTGCCAGCGACGGAGACCATCCAAAACGCTGCTAGGCCCACTGCCACCTTCCCCAGTCGGCACCACCGGGCAAAGCCAGTCCTTAACCTGGGCCATTCGGTTCCTCACTGAGACGTCTGTATCAAAATCACACTGCCTTCACTGCTTTCAGCCTTTTCCTTTTCTCACCCAAATGAACTAACTGGAAGTTCCCCTGATGAGCTGCCTGTCTATTCCGCCGTAGAGGGAGGCCAGTGGCGCTGGGTTGGCACCTGCACACTCCCTACTGAGCTGGAGAACTAGAGGTGGCTAGGGGCACGTGAGAGTGGGAAATAGCACGGACTCTGGATGACCGCTGTGCAAGCCCTCACCCAGGCCACTGCCAGCTGGACAGACCCCACAGGCCCTGGGGCCCCACTCGACACCAGAGACAGGGGCCAATGTAGACGCAGCCAACAGCCCAGGATTATTCCAGTCATATTAGTGGAAACCATGTATAGGCCCAAACACTGGAGGCAGGTTACATCATTTAGATTTGAGATTGGTTTTTAATCAGAAGTGCTCATCTTTAATTCATGTGCGCTTTACAAAGCTACAGGGGACCCTAGATGGAGATGGGGTCCCTTAGAGTGAGCCTCAGGCTCTGGGTAAAATATGCATTTTCTTGATTTTATTTAAACAATGGTGAAACTCAGAGAGCAACAGCCTACACCCAGCTGTCTTTCATTTTCATTTTCCTGAAGGCTTCATGGCCATGGTTATCACTGTTCAGAGACAGCCATGCTTGGCACGAGAGAAGAACAGTCACACTGCAAGAGGGGAGGGATGACAATGCTTTTAGGCTCAGTCCTGCAAGAGAAACTGGGATCACACCTCAACCTGACTGCAGGTCCTGTTAGAAGGATGGGAGGTGAGCGGCGAGCATCTCTGACGAGACTTGGCTGATAGCGCCAGGTGGACGCATCCCGTGGCTGCCCAGGAGGGACCCAGCCTTCTCCACTCACCTCCCTCCTGGGAGGGCCAGCTTGCCTTTGAGGGGCTGGGCCTCAGAGCTTGTCAATTCTGTGATTCTAGGAAGCAGAGGAAGTTCAAAGTTGCCAAATGCACTGAAGCTAGGGCAATGGGGATTTTTTATTTTAGAAAAAGGCCAGTCAGGGAGAAATTAATCGAGAAAACAGGACACATTTCATGGGACATCTGAGGCTGGTCTCTACATGAAGGCACCACAAAGCCGCCCCCCTTCCCTGGGGTCCCTCGCCCTCAGTATGAGGGCTCAGTGCAGTCCACCCCACAAGGATGAGCAACTGAGAGGGGGATGAAGTCTGCCCTGCCCCCAGTGAAGCCCCACGCCATGGGCGGTGGACGGGTGGTGGCTGTCTGCACGCTGGAGGGAGAGCTGAAGCTAACTCTCAGGGGCCTGCGTGCACTTAGGGCTCTGCTCTTCAGGAAACACCAAGATCAGTAGAGACCTCAGAAGGGTCCCCAAATGCAGGGGTCAGCACAACACAGGCACAATGCCAGCAGAAGGGTCCCCAAGAGGTCCTGGTGTCCAAAGTGTGCCTCCCTGCGTGCGGTGTGACTTTTCTAGAAAGCTGCCCTCTCCCCTGCAAAGGGGCTTCAAAGTCGTCTTGTGCAACCACTTCTGATGCTTTCACACTTCCAAGGACAGCATCTGGGTAAATAACTGCAGGGCCATTTCAGATGTAGCCGTCTCACTTCTGGGACAAGTGGCTGCAGCTCAGGGTGCGGCAGGAGGAGGGGTAGGGTGTGGACACGAGTGCCCTGTCTGGAAGTGGCTGCAGCGAAGGTCTTGGTTCTAAAGCTGGAGAGAGGCCGGGGCAGGTGCACAGGCGCTGCCCGGGGACCAGGGCCAGGATGGTGTCCGCAGGCCGCCAAGCTGCTCACAGGCCTGCGGTGACATTCTCTAGTGACCCACGTCACTAGCCCCATTTCACTGAATCGGAAACTGAGCTCAGGGTGAAGTGCTTCTGTCCACAATCCAAGCAAGTCGGTAGAGAAACAGGAATTCAGTCCAGGGTCCCAAACCCGACACCCCCACTCCCCCAGAGCTCCCTTTCTGCACACACTGCCTCCCCCACCACCCTGGCCGGGCTGCAGCAAAGTTCACCTGTCCGAGGCCCTCACCCCAGTCTCTCGCAGGCCCATGGCCCCTTTCACTCGCTTCCTGTGAGAGGACCCCCTTATGTCAGCCCACAGCAAGAGACTCTGTTACTCATGAACTCCCCTGAAGGAGGATTTTGTTTTCCCTAGAAAACTGCCAGCAGGCCAAGGACAAACCCAGTTTCTCCAGTTCAGTTATTTACACGCCCTGCAGCTGGCCTCAAAATCAGTTTTGTTCTTGTTCTTTTTTTTTTTTATAAGACATGCTCAGCTTTCCCATCAGCTACTGACAACTATACAGGCCTGGGTTGCACACTCTATAGAAAGCATCCCGGGGGGCTGGGCCGTGACCCCTATGAGAAGGTGGGTGTTCTGGTCCAAGGCCAGATGTCCGAAGTGCATGCTGCTGCTTTGCCAGGTCGCAGGGGCCGGAGCCCCAGGAGCACCCCGGCAGGGGAGGGGGCCGTCAGGAGGTGAGGGACTGAATGTTCTTGAGCATCTCCTCAAACGCCTGTGGGGACGGTGCGTCTGCGTTCCGGAAGGTGGCCTGGACCCTGCTGTACAGGCTGAAGGATTTTAGCTCCAGCCAGATGAAGCCAAAGCGGTCCTCGTCGAACAGGATGAAAACCCCAGGGGTACGCTCAGGGCTGGTGAAGCCATGGCCAGCGATGAGGCCTGTGCCATAGAAACTGAACAAAGACAAGAGGGAAGGTGCAGGGAGAGAGTGGTGAGGGGCCTTGGAGTACGTGAACTGGCCCGAGTCAAGCACCATGTCATTCTGGGTGTCCTGGAACACCCTTCGTTCCATGTGAGCCACCTTCACTATCTGCCAGCAGGAAGCTAAGAACCAGGAGGTGATGGAGCCCAAGAAAGCCTGTCTGTGTAGGGCCCTGCTCAGCTCTCAACACCCAGCACAGCGAGCTGTCTACACCGACGGGCAAGGCTCTGGGTGTTTGAGGAGATGGATGTTCCCCTGCAGAGCACACAAGCCAGCGTGCTTGGTTCGCCCCAGATTGTGAGGCTCTCCCCACCAACCACTGCTCTCGACCAGCTCACCACCTGAAGGAGCAGGGTCTCAGGCAGCCCTCCTCTAACTGACCCAAAGCACACGTCTTCAGAACGCAGCCCCAGCCAACAAAAATCTCAGTCCCTGGGATAGTTATGTCCACAAACAAGCAACTCAAATATAATCGATGAAGATTCAGCAGTATGCACCTGACAGTAACTCAGAAGGCAGGACTTTCAAGTACCCATTACAGCCAAGTTCTAAGACCAGCATCAGGCTGAAACACACTTAGGGCTTTTTTGCAAAGAACTCGGTGCCTTGACGGATGACCAGGAGTTAGGGGCCGGCCCGAACCTCCCAGCTCATGGAATGGTGCCTGGGCCCCCCACCTCCACCCGCCATGCTGGAGCTCTACTGGGCAGGAGTGGGACAGCAGCCCTAGGCATGAGGCCTGTGGTTCCTTCCAGAGTAGAGAAAGAAGCCCCAGAGCCCAAGGGAGGCAAAGTGATGCCCGCTGAGCCTAGAGCACATGCAGCAGAGGTCCCCTGTGGCAAGGCCTTGCAAACACACAGAACGGCCGGGAAGGAATGCAGCGTGCCCCTCCCGGCCACAGAGCCCCTGATATCACATGGGGCTGGAGTTCGCTCCTGCGGCCCCACCAGGTGCAGAGCCCCACCCCGTTCTCCACCCCAGCCCATCTCTGTGCTGGGTGGGAGGCAGGGCCCTCCCTGAAGCCCCTCCTCGCCCCCCCTCGCATCCTTACCACATCCTGCAGGTGCGGGGATAGTCCTCGTTCCTCGAGCTCACCCCCAGAGGCAGCACAAATGGCTGCCCCTGCCCAGACTCGACGGGCTGCTCAGCCGCAGCTGCGGCGCCTCCATCCCCGGGCTCGCTGCCTTTCTCAGCGGGCGGCTCCACAGTGGGCTGGGCAGGGCCCCGCTGGGGCTCTTGGGGGCTTTGCCGGCTGCAGCCCTCAGCATCCTCAGGCCCGTCTTCCTGCTGCTGCTGCTCCTGGCGCACCTGCTCACGGACTTCCAGGACGATGCGGGAGAGCTCATTGAAATTGCGGAGGTTCTCAACGTCGGGCAGCTGGATGCGGTGCATGAGGTCAATCTCCACCGTCTGCTGCCCAGCAGGGATGTTGGGGTCACCCTGAGGAGCGAGCGGACGCTGATCAGCAGGGCTCAGAGACCAGCAGAAACATGCTCTGCGTGGTTTCCGACCTAGATCCCGCCTCCAGCCAAAGGAGCTTGCTCTGACATTCCTACTGATTAGGCGGTAACCCCTTACCAAGTAAGAATATTTTGGAAGCCCTTAAAAAATTACTGCGGGAGTAGGCGGCCCCATCTGTGAAGGGATCTTTGAGGACAGAGAAGGGCAGCACCTACAAGTGATCTTCAGGGCTGTAACCAGGCAGCTCCCTGAGCCCGCAGGCCCCCAGCACACTGGCCTGACTGCACTCAAAGACCTCAGGTGACAGGTGAAGGGAAGTGCGTGGACCCTCCCAGGCTCAGGCAGGGTGGGACAGGCCCAAGACGCCAGCCCAGACCTGGCTGCCTGGAACACAAAAGCTCCTAAGCCAGAACCGCAGGAGACCTTCTGGGGCGCAGTTCTCCACAGGGCCAATGAGCCCCCTGACAGCCCGGCAGAGAGCCCAGGGACACAGTCCTGCTTCTGCGCTCTCCATCTCAAGGCGCTTTCCCCAAAGCAGAGGGAGCCCGGCAACGGAGGTCTGGGACAATGCTCTGTGAGGAGCACAGAGAGGTGCTGCCTCTACAGGACACCTCAGGGTGCCTGCCAGAAACCCCAACGACTCTGCACATGACAGGGGAGCACAGGGTGAATGGTGGCCCCTGAAGCTGGCAACGCAGGCCCTATTCATTCAGGAACCCACTCAGCTCACCCTCCAACTGCTTCCACGAGCTGCTGAGGCTGGGAAGGGCAGAGGGACCCGTGAGGTAACGCAGAGGGTCTCCAAGGTGGTGGCACCTTAGGGTCACTTGGGGAGCTCGTGGAGCCCCTTACCCAGCCCACCCCCCACCATTAAATCAGAATCCCTATGTCTGGGCATCAGTATTTTCTCAATGTCCCCAAGGATCTCAGCGTGTGGCCAGGGCTGAGAGGCGTGTGGTAATGCCACCTTGGAAGTGCTCAGACTCCCCTGGAGATGTTGTAAAATGCAGCTCCTGGGTCAGTGGGCCCAAGGCCCATCCTAAGTAGCCAGGGTGCAGCCCAAGTCACGCTAGTCCGTGGCCCATCTAATGGCCCCTCCACGGTCGCCCCCCCCCCAACTCACCGTGATCTTCGTGCCCCTGGCATGCTTCCCATGGAAGCTGAGCATGACAATCTCCAGGCCATGGCTGCCGTAGGTGCCTTTGAAGAGGCCAGGCCTGATGAGGTCGTCCGGGTGGCTGGGCGGGAGGTAGATGCGGCGGTAGGTCAGGCAGTTGCTGTGGGAGGAGCAGGCAGTGTGAGAGCACAGCAGAGACGCATGCAGGGCAGAAGCATAGATCTCACATACACCACGGGGGGCAGGCAGGGCAGAGCCGCCTAGCACTGCCAGGGTTAGATTTCTGCCAGGCCAGAGGGGAGCAGGGGCACCCCACGTTCCTGACCTACACTCATCCCAACCCACAGGTACATGGCACACCCCACACCTTCTCCAATCCCAACAGAGTTTAATGTGCTCACACACTCTGCTGGCTGCCCCAAGGCAGCTGAGGTGGAACTCTCAGTGAAGGGGAGGGAATGCCACTCCTGCTCTGTCATCTGTGACAGGAACCCCTGAAATCATGGTGGTGACGTGGCAAAGGGACAGGGCCCAAGGACAGAGAGGCAGAGAAAGCAGGCCTCCCAGGGCAGACATGAGGAAACAAGCACGAGGCTTTGGCGCACACACCAGGCCCACTAGAGCACACTGCTGGTGGGTGGTGATGATAAATCAGACAGAACAGACAAGGAGGGGATGGGTACTGTGCTCACAGTACCAGAGAGGGAGGGACTACACTCACAGTACTCAGAGAGAGACTGTACTCACAGTACCCACAAAGAGGGATTATACTCATAGTACCCCCACAGAAAGGGACTATACCCAGTGAGGGACTGTGCCCATAGTACCCACAGAAAGAGACTGTGCTCATAGTACCCACAGAGAGGGACTGCAGTCACAATACCCACAAAGAGGGAGATTATGCTCATAGTACCCCCACAGAAAAAGACTGCACTCACAGTGCCCACAGAGGGGGATTGTGTTCATAGTACCCCTACAGAAAGGGACTGTGCTCACGGTACTCACAGAGGGGGGCTGCACTTACTCATACTGACTGGTGTAGATGAACTTCATCAGGATGAGCTCCTGCATGTGCTCGTGGAAAATGTCCTCCAGTGTCCGTCCCCATTCTTCCCTTAGCCACGTTCGGAATTCCTTCCAAAAGAACACAGGCTATGAAAACCACCATCACACAAGGGCGTGAAGAGGCTGCTCGCTGTGACGCCAAGTGGACAGAGCAGCATTTTTACAGCTGGGGCAATGCCTTGGGCATGCCCACATCAAGTCCCACGTAAGTGAATGGGATGGAGACGGAAGCTGGGCAGGAGGCGAGCTGCCTTGTGTGTGGTCTCCCAGCACCTGGCCTCCCTTCCTCTGTGGAGGCGTGCCACCAATGAAGACTCTGGTCCCCACTTTCCCTCAGCACATGGACCCAGATTCATGGGAAGCAGCAGGGATCACAGGGGTCCCTTTGGGCAGGGCTGGGGCCACAGCCAGTGTCCAGAGCTCCTGGGTAGCAGCTACATGAGCCTCACTTCCATGTCCACCACAGGACAGGAGGCGTCTACACTGAGCCTGCTTCTCTGGCTTCTGGGGCAGCAGGAGCACAGCAGGACTCTTGTCACTTCAACTGTGCTGGTCAGGCTGACCAGAGCTGCTCTCTGCAGCTGCTGATGAAGAACGAGAGAGGAACAGCGGGTGGAGGGTGTGGGTGGGTTTCCCCTTTAAAATGTGCCTTCATAGTTATGTTGTATGTTCAATAAACATATCTGTAAAAAGGGAGCTTTAAAACACCGCATCCCCAAACCTCAGTAATTTATTATGGAATCAAACAATGTGAAGGATATTTAGTGCTTAATAGCTTGATTCTGCACACTTAACATAATTAATCCACAGCTCTGAGTTCCTAACTCAATATACTGTTTCTGATGATTATCTAGATTAGCTCTACAAACAGAAGGAAAAGCAATTTACCAAAAAAAAAGCTACGATCTGTCAATTGCTTTAATATGTTACTGTCCAAACTCTGGTAAAGAACAGAAATTACTGCATGACTGAACTAAACAACTATTAGAACTACAAGATCAATATATAAAAATCAGCTTCATTTTTATATACTAACAATAGAAAATTGGAGAATGAAAATTTTTTAAGTCCTATTTACAACAGCTTCAAAAAACACAGAATTTAGGAATAAATATTACAAAATATGTGCAATACCTCTACTCTGAAAATCACAAGCCTCTGCTGAAAGGAAGTATAAAGAGGCCTACATAATAGTCAGAGGTGCCTACAGACCAGAAGACTCAGTATTAAGCCAGCAACTCCCTCCAAACTAATCTATAGATTCAAAGCCATGCCAGTCGTAATCCCAGCAGGCTTTCTGCAGAAACTGACAAGCTGATTCAGAAATTCACATGAACATGAAAAAAACCTAGAACATCCAAAGCAATCTTGCAAAAGAACGAATTTGGAGGACACACACTAGCTCACGTTATGTCTCACCATAAAGCTACAGTAATCAAGATGGTGGTATGAGCATAAGTACTGACAAATACATCAATGGAACTAAATAGAGAGCCTAGAAACAGAACCCCCCATTTATCTGGTCAGCTGACTTTTGACAAAGGTGTCCAAGCTACCCAATGGGGAAAGGAAAGTCATTTATCCACAAATAGTACTCAAACAACTGGACATCCATACAGAGAAAATGAACCACAATCCCTACCTCACACCATACCCAAGAAATAATTCTACATGGGTCACAGACCTGAACATAATATAAAGCTACAAAACTTCTAAAAAAGAGAGAGAGAGGGGCCCGGCCCGGTGGTGCAGCGGTTAAGTTAGCACATTCCGCTTCGGCGGGCCAGGGTTCACTGGTTCGGATCCCCAGTGAGGACATGGCACTGTTTGGCAAGCCATGCTGTGGTAGGTGTCCCACAGAGAAAGCAGAGGAAGATGGGCATGGATGTTAGCTCAGGGCCAGTCTTCCTCAGCAAAAAGAGGAGGATTAGTGGCAGATGGTAGCTCAGGGCTAATCTTCCTCAAAAAAAAAAAGATTCTTTGTAACTTGAGAGTAGGCAAGGTTTTTTAGGACACAGGAAACAATAACCATAAAAGAAAAAACTTCCATTAAAATCATAAACCTTCCACTTAAATGGCTGAACTCAGAGAGAAAAGGCCCTAAAAAAAATCAAATAGATAAATAACATAAAAATGGGAGTAAGTGAATGTAATGAGCAAGGATTTCAATGTTGCCATGGTGAAATCAGACTTGGGCTAAATACCATGAAGAAGATAGCTTGTGAACAGTCATAATCTTATTTACTTTGCACGAAAAGATCATAGACATTAGGAATACCAACTAGACCCAATTACTCAGAACAAAGATCTTTGAAACATGTTTGTTATGAAATTACCTTATAAGACATGTATGCACACAGAAAACCAGGGGCCTAGAACATGTAAGAATAAGTTTAATATTTACCCAGGGCTTGCTCACCATGTGTTGGCACTTTACAATCATCATCTTACTTAATCTGCACAACAACCTAGGAGATGGATACAGATAACATTATCCCTGTGCTGCAGATGTTTGGGGTTTGGAAAAGTTGAGAAGCCTTTCCACAGTCAACCAGCTATTAAGTGGCAGAATCAGAGCCAACCCAAAGTCCACGTGCTAGCTGGTCTTGTCTCCACCAGGGCCAACCCCAGGGCCAGAGGGAGTGCGGAGAGACGGGGGCTCACCCACAAACTGACGGCATGGAAAAGCCTTTGGAACATCTTTAGGACCTTTTGCCCGGCAATTCCCATTCTGTAGGATCCAAAAACCAGCTATGGGTTTTGCACAGATTTAGGCAGCAGAGTTACAGTAATAATGCCTGACATCTCTCCTGGGTGGCTCTGGCCAGGTCTGGTGCTAAGTCATTCACATGCAGTGTCCTACTCTATCTTCCAAAATCACTCGGGGGTCCGCAGATAATCATATGGCCCCCCCTTTACAGATAACGACTGAGACTCCCAGAGGGTAAGTCACACAAGTACATGGTCAGGGCAATAATGGGGACACATGAACAGCTGGGTGCAAACCCCATGTGCAGCTACAGGAGAATGGTTCATCCACATGGTCAATTACACTGCAGCAAGATGATGAATGTTAGGCTGCATTAAAAAGAGTTTGCAGAAAATTCTAATGAGACTGGAAAATATCTCTGGAAAAAGTTAAGCTAAAAAAAATTAAAGATCCAAATTAGACAGAGTTAGACTGCAAATACAGCCAACAGTCCCAGGAAAGCACAGGAATGATGGGGAACGGGCCTGGAGACGGCGCCTGGGTGGGGGCCATGTCAGCACTCTTCTCGCCTGATTCTCATGACTTTGTATTTGATGACGATAAGCTATCATTTTAGTAATTAGGGGAAAAAGTACATAAGACAAAGGAAAACAAAATAAAAGCCACTCGAGTCCAACTAAAGGGAGTCCAGGGCGAGAGCCTTTCTGCTCGGCAAAGTACGAGGCGCACCACAAGCAGCAGCCCACGGCCTGGCCGGGAGTGAAAGGGACATCGGCAGCCTCGCAGGGGAAGGTGGGGGCCTGGCCATCCTCCCTCCTCTCTTCCCCATCTCTGCTCCTCCTCGCACCCCCAGATTTCCAGAAGCCTCAGGTTGGGGGGCCCAGATAGAGGGAGTGAGGAGGGAAGATGGTAGCCCAGCCTTGCCCATCATCCATGAAGAAAAGCCAGGCAGCGTCTGCACCGGGGACTGAGAGTCTGGGGCGGCCCGAGGGCTGCACTGCTCACAAGGATGCAGGGCATGCAGCTGCAGTTTGTGAAGCCCATGGGAGGTCACACGGAGGGGTCACATGGGAGGCGCCCGTGAGGGGCAGGCTGAGGACACCACAGCCCTGAGGAACCAGATCAGGGCACAGGACAGAGTGGACCTGGCGTGTGGAGGTTAGCAAAGCTGGCAGAAATCCTGGAACTGGAGTTGGGGTGCAAGGGGGTGGGAGGGTGGGCAAGGCCCGTGGATGCAGTTAATAAACGACCCTGAAGGGCTGGCTTGCAGAGTTGAGGAAGGGCAGAGCCCCATGTGAAGAGCTGGAGGGGGCCTCTCACTGGTTCCTTCATGAGCAAGAGGCTGAAGGCATCACCAGCCGGCCCTTCCCGGAGCACACGCCTCCAGGGCTGGGGCAGGCGTCCTCCACACTCCCTCACGCTGCCAAGGAGGCTCCTCTTCCAGGACGGCCGGATGAGCTGGGGGCAGTGAAAGGATTCTCTCCTCAGCGGGTGGAGACAGCTGAAGGTCACGATGAGACATGACCTGCCCACCCTGCAGCCCTCAGGTCACCACGAGTCCTCCGGTCCCTTGGGAAGTACCATTTTGTGCCAACATTTAAAATGATCATCAACCATCAGAACACAGGGTGGCCCAGAATCCGGGGCTCAGCCTTTCACCTCAGTTTTCAGAACTATCAGGGCACACAGCATCGTCCACCTCACAGCCTGTCCTCTCTCCCAGGAGCCCAAAGTCACTCCCTGGGTCTGAAAGACTCGGCTAGAAAGTGAAGATGTTTCAGGAGTCCCAAGTCCTCTGTTTAAATTATTCCAAGGCCTAGAGAGAAAAGAAAGGCTTCCAGTTCTAGAAGCTAGCAAAAGATTGCTATTAAAACCAGACAAAAACAGCACAAAAAATATTAGACCAAGTCCACTCATCAGTGCTGAAGTCCTACATAAAAGGTGATCAAACAGCGTGCAGCAGCGCAGAGCGCCCGCAGGCCAGTGAGACTCCTTCCCAGGACCTCAGCCTGGCTCAGTGTGAGATGTCTATTCACACAAGTCGCCACATTACTAGACTAAGGGGGAGAAAAACCACCTCGTGGTTTCCACAGATGCTCAGAAACACTGGTACATTCCACATCTCTTCTCAATGAAAACAAAACAAAGCCCACTTAAGGAAACACGAGCAGACAGCTCTGTCCCCGACATAATAAAGTCTATCTTGACCCCAAGGCCATCTTTCTGCCCCATGACGACACCCACCACGGCCGCGAACAAGACCAGGCGCCATCCTCACCACCGCTGTGAGCTGTTCTGAGGGAAGTACAGGCTGACACAGTTCACAAGACTGAAAGACAGGGAGACTGGAAAGGAAGAAGTAAAATGTCTTTATTTGCAGATAATCAGTATCATCCTGGAAAACTCAAGGTAATCAACTCAAAAATGATTACAAATGCAAGAGAAGTCAGTAAGATGGGTGGCCACAAAATTAGCATGCAAGAGCTTTTAAATATAAATTCACCAGTTGGAAGATAAAATGAAAGCCAAGAGCCCATTTACCACAGCAGCAAAAGATCAAACACCTTACAGCGAATGTGCAAGACCTACCAAAGAAAATACTGGAGCCCCACTGAGGAACACAAACTCTGTCTGAACACCACGTTCCTAGACGGGACGTCGTGACGTCACACCAGGGTCAACTGTCCATAAACCCATCTATGAGTGTAATGTGATTCCAATTAAAGTAAAAACACCAGCAGGATGTTTCTGGGAAACAGCTAATCTAGAGTTCATATGGAAGAAGAAACAAGATTCGCCAGAAAAATTCTGAAATACAAGAGGAAGACACGCAGCCTAGTGCTACCACGTGAAATGTGTAGTTATAAAGCTACAGTAACCAGAATAGTGTGGCACCTGCATAAATAGGCTTATCATGGGTGAGAATATCACGTCCAGAAATAAACCAAGTCCATACGGCAATGTAGGACAGGGCGGCATTTCAAACGGACAGAGGAAATCTGGATTACTCAATATCCAGGGCTGGGATAACCGAGCAGGCATCTGCACAAAAGCAAAGTTGCACTGAACCTCACATTTTAAACCAGATAAATTCCAAAAGAACCAAAGATATAACTGTGAGAAAATAAAGACATGAGCTCATCTGTAAGTAGAATTTCAAAGTGGGGATGGGCTTTTAAGATGACACCAAACTAAGAAGCTATCAAGGAAAGGACAGATACATCTGACTATCTGAAATCAAAAATTCCATGGATGAAAACATACCTTAAACCAAATCAAAAGACAAAAAAATGAATGACAAAAAAATATTTGTGATATAGGGCCAGCCCAGTAGTGCAGCAGTTAAGTTCGCGCACTCCACTTCAGCAGCCCAGGGTTCGCTAGTTCAGATCCCAGGCGCGGACCTGCGCACCACTTATCAAGCCATGCTGTGGCAGGCGTCCCACGTATAAAATAGAGGAAGATGGGCACAGATGTTAGCTCAGGGCCAATCTTCCTCAGCAAAAAGAGGAGGATTGGTGGTGGACGTTAGCTCAGGGCTAATCATCCTCAAAAAAAAAAAAATATTTGCAACTCATATCTTGAAGGGTTCATTTCCTAATAGGATGAAAGCGCCTACAAATCAATTAGAAACACAGCAACATCAAACAGAAACAGAGTCAGGGGACATGAACAGACATTTCACAGGAGAGGAGCCACAAGGAGCCCTTAAAGCTGACACTAATCTTAGCCTCACTCATAAGAGAAATGCAGATTAACCGCCGAAGCCAAGATGCTAACAAAGCCTTTACTCTCACCTTCACTTTAGGTGTTTTTAAGTTTGCACAGGAAACTTGTGTTATTACTTTTATAATCAGAAAAACTAGTATTCCATTTCAAAAGCAATGAGCCCACACACAAGCTGGCTTACAAGAACTTCTTCTGATCTCAGAGCATATATTTCCAGAAATCTATTACATGGCCTTGTTAAGGTCTCAACAGCTGCGGAGTTTCTATTCCTGGAAAATATGTTGACGTTTTTCACTTAAACGTGAACTACAGCAATCACCAAATGTTGCATATGTGATTGTATATGAAATTTTAAATGACAGTGTTGTAAATTTAAAGAGCATTTCCATTACCTGTCATCTTCACATGCCATACATTTTGGTTAAGAGGGACCTCCTCTACCCCCAGAGGGTTCTGAGAGGCATGTGGGTGCCCCCGGTTTATGTTGAGTCTCCCTGCAGGTCTCTGGCTAATGGGGAAGCCATCAGAGACTCAGAAACTGCCTGAGAAATGCACACCCAACAAATAAATAAAAGCTGCAATGAGATTCCCATATTTTAAAAGGTCAAGTTTTTCTTTAAAATATTTTGAAATGGCAGTATGACTTAGCTGTTTAGAAAACTAAAACTCAACAGTAATGTGTAAAATTACTCGTGCAGAAAGGAAACTCTAAGAAACTGCTGGGTGTCTGACTCACAGCTTTACCCACTGCGTTGCTGTGATCTGGAAATCTCAACCACTGGGTCCTTTCGAAAAAAGCCCTCTGGTCACCCTGCAACTCACATCCAAGAAGAAACCTCCAGCAGCACACATACACTCTTGCCAAAGGGGCAAAGAAGAAGTAATTAGAGAAAACCATTTCTGTTTGGTTCATTCATTCTGAGGGATGGCAGGGAACAAAAACTTGTGCTCGTGGACACAAATCCACACCGTTTCTAACAACAGAGTCAGAAGCACTTTCTGCGCCAACAAGGCTAGGATAAATCATGGGAGACGGCCGTTTTGTTGGTGGCATGCTAACAATGTCAAACTGTTCAATCTCACATTTGCACTGTGCCCAAGGGGGGACCAGGCCGGTGCTCCACCTGAACAGAAGGCGTACGAGCTTACCTCTTGCCTCCCGCCAGACATCCTGTGGTGATCTGTCTGGTTGCACTTGGTGGAGAACTCGTCCTTCTTCACAATCTTGAGCATTCATGACAAGGGAGAGAGGGTAAGGAGTCAGTCACAGCACCCCCACCAGACCGGGGCCATATGATGAGCCCCTCCCGCACTGATGCTCCCCACTCATCTACAGAAGCCCAAGACGCCACCAAATCGTGACGGATCCCAGGAAGGGAACTCAGAACCACCGTGAGCATGCACTTCCTTCTCAGAGGAGGGGTGCATCCGAGAGAGGCATTTGCATTTTCCCAGGGGGACCTCTCAGAGCAGCACAAAGGGGCTGGCGCTTTCCTAGTGTGTTAGATAACACACTTGCTCACCGGGCTGGCCATTTGCCATGCCAGTGCCAGAGAGTCGAGCATCATTCAAGCTGATATTCTTGCAAAGAGGAGAGAAAGGAGCAGTGAGGAATTGTGGCTGGAAAGCACAAATGGCTCTAACTGAATGCAGAGTCAGTGGAGGCTCCAGTGAGTGATTCTTTGAGGAGTTGCATCACAGCACGATAGCATAAAGAAGGCAGAGAGGGGCTGGGGGTAGAGCATCGCTTCCTCCGTTTCTGCTGATCTTTATGGGCACAGAACTGTAGGTAGGAATACCACGGCAAGCTCAGCTGGCACCCCATACAGGCTGGCCCTAGGAATGGGGGAGGCCTAGCCCCTCGCCTGCACTCGGCTGCCGTGTCTAAGGGAGCCCCAAGCATGCACTCACCTGGATGTGGCCGTTGTGGGGCCCCCTGTGGCCGTACATGCATTCCACCGTGGCCGACTTCCTCTCCATCAGGTGGATTCTAAACAAGGGCTTGAATCGCATTGGGTCATTCACATGAGGATCGTGGGGAGGCAGGTACATCCAGCCAATGATGAACAAGCCGTCCACCTGCGGCGAGCAGAAAGGGCACAAGTCTACGCAAGGGTCAGGATGAGGCGCTGAGGCAGAGGGTGCCCACCCTGCAGCTGTCCACGAGGACCACCCTCCTCTCCACACTCATTCCCACCGAGAACCTGGGGACCAGCAGGCATCAAGGTGCTCCCAGTCCAGCGCACCCGGAGGAGCACAGCCCAGCCCACCAAGTGCTTGCTACCTAAAAAGTAGTTATCTCACGTAAAACACAATGCCCATAGTTGCTAAGACTGTACATTATCACTGAAATCTGCCAAGAGAGCAGAACTTAAATATTCTCACTGGAAAAAAAAAAAGAAAAAAGGTAAAAAGGGTGAGGTGATGGATGTGTTAATTAATCAGATGGTGGGAATCCTTTGACAATGTACACAGATATCAAAGCACGACGATGTACGCTTTATATACAGAAGTCTCCTTACCCATGGTTTTGCTTTCCACGGTTTCAGCTACCTTAGGTCCAAAAATATTAAATGGAAAATGCCAGAAATAAACAATTCATAAGTTTTAAAGTGCAAGCTGTTCTGAGGAATGTGATGAAATCTCGCACCGTCCTGCCCGGGAAGTGAACGGTCCCTTTGTCCAGCGGATCTACCCAGCATACGCTACCCGCCTGTTAGTCACTTAGTAGCTGTCTCAGTCATCAGACTGTCACAGCATCGTGACTTGTGTTCAAGAGCTTGTGTCCGAGTCACCCTTATTTTACTTAATAATGGCCCCAAAGTGCAAGAATAGTGATGCTGGCAATTCGGATATGCCAAAGAGAAGCCAGAAAGTGCTTCCTGGAGGTGAAAAGGTAAAAGTTCTCAACTTAATAGGGAAAGAAAAAAAATCGTATGCTGAGGTTGCTAAGACCTACAGTGAGAAGGAATCTTCTGGGGCCAGCCCGGTGGCGCAGCAGTTAAGCTTGCACGTTCCGCTTCTCGGTGGCCCAGGGTTCACTGGTTCGGATCCCGGGTGCGGACGTGGCACCGCTTGGCAAAAAGCCATGCTGTGGTAGGCGTCCCACGTATAAAGTAGAGGAAGATGGGCACAGATGTTAGCTCAGGGCCAGTCTTCCTCAGCAAAAAGAGGAGGATTGGCAGTAGTTAGCTCAGGGCTAGTCTTCCTCAAAAAATAAAAGAAGAAGGAATCTTCTATCTGTGAAATTGTGAAGAAGGAAAAAGAAATCCATGCTAGTTTTGCCGTCACACTTCACATATGTATGTAAAGGGAAAACCGTGGTATATATAGGGTTCAGTACAATCTCCGGTTTCAGGCATCCACTGGGGGTCTTGAAACGTATCCCCCGTGGATGAGGGGGACTACTGTATCTTATAATTTCATTGGCCAATTATACCTCAATAAAGCTGAAAGCTTAATTTTTTTTAAATAGAAAAAAGTAGTTAGACCTAAATCCAAGCAAGCCTTTTAGAGAGAACTTCCAGCTCTAAAATGGGGGGGGTGGGGGCTGGGGAAACAAGCCAAACAACACGAGAAAGAAGCAAGCATAATACTACAGAAAGTTGGACACCCAGTAGGGCAACTGACCTGAGAAAAAACGGGGGTGCTGCTTCCAACAGGGGAGCTTCATGAGGCAAAATGTGAGGGCCTGGCTAGGTCCTGATGTGGACAAACCCGCTGTCAAAGGCAGTTCTGAGACAGTCAGGCGCCTTAAGCATGGACTGGTCTCAGGAGTACCAAGCAATAACCGCCCCTTTTGGAGGACCTGGTAAGGACGTGGGGGATGCGCAGGAAAGTGCCCACATTTGTAGAGATCCGCACTGACGCAGGAACAGATGAAGTGACACAGGCCCAGGATTTGCTTTAAAACGCCTGGAAGCGAACGCAAAGGGAGGGGACAGATGCCGTGACCTTGGCACACCATCGATAACTTGAACCTGGAGGTGGGCATCTGTGGGGGCTCACACTACCACTCCCACTACTCCTTGGGTGCCTGAAACAGTGAATGACAGAAGGTGATGGAGGTCAGGTCAAAGGACGGGCAGTCCCCAGCACAATCACGTGGCACATTCTCAGTGGTGGGGAGAGTCGCCTCTGAGGCCCCGCTTGGGATGGTCCCACCGTCGCCACCTTCCCAGGAGAGGCTGGATCCCCAGCTTCCAGCTCCAGTGAGAGAGGAGGCGAGAATTTAATCATTTCTGTGGCTAATTGGTCTGAGACAAGAGCCAGTTGGCATTGTGCTGTTATGGGCTCCATTTTCCCCTAATTATCCCCTACTCTCAGGAGCAGCATTTTTTTTTACTCTATTACTCACTGCCAGTAAGAAAACAATTACCACCCTCCCCAACTAAAAAAAAGGAAAGAAATCCACTCACGCTGGGAGCTGTCTGCTGGCCCGCGAGGAAGCCTCTGAAAGCAAGGCTCTTCCCCAGTGAGATTACATACAGCAAACCTAGAGCATGTCCCCACCAAATCATAAAGAATGGGAAGCAATATTTATGAGTATGCTGCTCCTGGTGAGCAACATACAGAGCGACAGGGCCACCAGAGTCACCAGATGGCCCCTATGACCAGATCAGCAGAGCCCCACTGAGGCGAGCCAGGCCCCAGGCCCCTGGGGGGCAGACCCACAGCCCTTACACGATGGGTGCCACTGGTCCCCTGGACTCGGGCCTCTGGCCGCCGAGCGTGTGTGCAAGAAGAGGGAAGCAAAACCAGAGCACTGGCGCTCCCCAAGGGCACCCGACTTTGTTTCCACTGCAGCCCCAGCCACAGCGACATTGGGCACAAGCGCCTGCCCACGGGTGCTGCGAAGGGCCACACCCGCTACACACACACCTGTGAACTCTCAAAGTGAGACAACCTGGGTTTTTCAAACGGGCCAAGAAATGAGCAGCTACTTTTCAAACGAAGATAGGCTGATGACCAAGAAGCACATAAAAATTAAACTACAAGAAGCCTTTTCTCCTGGCTACGACCAAGGAGCTCATATCAACAGCTCCTCCAGCTGAGACCAGTGATAAGAACTGAGTGAACTAGAAAGTTGCAATGCCATTTGCAGACATCAGGGAGCAAGCAGGTGGCCCCAAGATGAGGCCAGGATCCTGAAGAGCCCTTCCAGCCCTTTGCCCCTCACTCCTGACCACTTATGGCTGGGCAGAGAAGGGGAGGCCAGAGGGCCGCAGCTCCCCGAAGGCCAGGGCTCCAGGCTCCAGGTGCCCCCTAAGAGCGGGAACTAAAGACGTGGTCCCACAGTATGCAGGCTCTGCCCTTGATGCAGTTGCTGAATCCTAAATCATGAGGGCAAGTCCCAGAGAAACCAAGCAGAAAGGGGCTGCGAAGAGGCCCAGCAGTCAGGGGAAGTGGCGGCAGTATCACAAAGCTGGCAAGAGAAGAACTGGCGTTCAGCCTGGAGAGGAGGTGGCACCCGGGCCTTTAGGCGACACCATGAGGGGCTATGCCCTGAGGACATGGGCAGACTGGACAGCAGAGCCGGCCCGCACCAAGCCTGAGATGCAGCCTCGCACCAGGCCTGGTCAGAGCAAGGTGCTCTGCCAACCTACAGGCCAGAGGCCAGGACACTTCCTGGGGGACCAGCATGTGTGGCCACATGTTTGGGCATGCCAGGAGACAGGCTGACACACCTGCAAATCCAGGGGAAAAAGAGACACTGGAAACTGACCCAGAGATCACAGACTTCACAGAAACCTTGAGGACTAAGAGAAGAGACAACAAGAAGGAAAACTTTACCAGAAAGCAGCCATAAAGCCAGACCTTCCTCTTGGCTATGACAGAGTAGGGGACTGGGATTTGCGCACCTGCTGTGAACCAAAATACGAGACACCGGACCACAGGCAGCACAGGACTGTGACCCAGAGAAGGGGAATAGAAGAGGTGGCCCCTGCCATCCCCTGGATTTCTGCCGGAGGCACCTTCCAGCCCTAGGGGCTCACAGCAGAACTCGGGGGTGTTCTAACTTGAGGAAATGGAGACCCAAGTTCGAGGGGGCTGACGGGGCTGGAGCGTGAGGGTCAAAGACCCAGAAAGGAGGGAGCTGCACAGAGAAAGAGCCCCAGATCTGCCGAGGGGCCCCGGGTCGGGCTGAACACCGAGCCACAGCGACACTGCAGCCTGGCCATGAAGCTGGGCCATGACCTGGACAATTCCCAGGGTCATACAGGTCTCGAAATGTTCCAATTCCAGGCAGCCAGAGAAGGGGGTCCTCATGGAACCCCTGGGGCACGGAGTGGGGACCCCAGAGGGCTCAGGCCTTAGAGATGGAGCTAAACTAGCCCAGAAGAAAGGCTCCTCTAAACCAGCTGCACAGAGCTACCCCACGCCACCACGAGATGGACTGAGCCTCAGCCAACTTCCTGCCTGCCTAACACAGCCGGACCAGCTCAGGGAAGGTCATCCGGCACTCAGCCACTTAACAACCATCTCCACACCTCGTGGAAAAGACCAGGCATGCAAGAGGCAGGAAAACGGCCAACAGCCAGTGTCAATGTCAGGAAAACAAGCGGCAAAGACAAGAAACATTTATGGCCTCATACTCTGTGGGTCAGGACCTCTGCAGGTCAGGACCTCCGCAGCGGCCTGGCGGAGAGAACACCGCACGAGGCTACACTCAAGCGTCCGCAGGCTGAACGCCTGCTTCCAAGGCGGCCCTCACGTCCACCCAGCAAGCTGGCCCCTCTGGGCCTCTTCTGCTGGCCCTGGTCCTCTCTTTGTTCCCAACCCGGGTGACGGTGTCCTCAATACCGGTCACCACGGAATGCGCTTAGTTACCATGGCACGTGGCTCATCAGCCTTTCTGGCCTTCGTGAAGTGAGCACTCTGCAGGCCGAGGGCAGGGTTGGCGGCCTCCCCCCGCGGGGTCTGTGTGAGAGCCGCTCACGCTGAAACTTGGGCTGTGGATTTTTGGCAGAAGCTCCAGAGAAGTAAAGCTACATCCTTCACACCACACCAGGAGGGCCTGGGGTCAGCACCCAGGTGGTCAACCCCATGGTGGGTTAGTTAACAGGGATCACCTGGTTGGGTCAGTTAACTGGTTAGTTAACAGAGATCACCTGGTCAGGCACTGTTGGCCAGATCTCTCCCCTTAAAGGCACCTTTTCCTCCTGGTAATTACAGTCAGCCGAATATGGGCCCCAAAAGCGGTCCACGTCCTAATCCCTGGGCCCTGTGACATTATCACCTAAGATGGCAAAAGAGGACTTTGCAGATGTGATAAGTTAAGGATCTTTTCTAAAGATTTTATTTTTCCTTTTTCTCCCCAAAGCCCCCCAGTACATAGTTGTGTATTTTTTTTAGTTGTCGGTCCTCCTAGTTGTGGCATGTGGATGCCACCTCAGCATGGCTTGATGAGCGGTGCCATATCCGCACCCAGGATCCGAACCGGCGAAACCCTGGGCCGCCGAAGCAGAGCACATGAAGTTAACCACTCGGCCATGGGGCCAGCCCCTAAATTAAGGATCTTGAGATGAGATTACTCAGGATTATCCGGGTGGGCCCTAAAAGCAATTACTTGTATCCTCCTAAGAGGGAGGTCTAAGACACCAAAATGGAGAAGAGGCCACAGGAAGTCGACGGCAGAGAAGGAGAGGTGCGGCCACAGCCCGGGAGCCCCCAGAGCTGGAGAAGCAGGAAGGCTCCTCCTCTAGGGCCCTCAGAGAGAGCGGGCCCTGCAGCATCTTGATTTCAGCACAAAAGTACTGATTTAGAACTTCAGGCCTCCAGAAGTGTGAGACAACAAATTTCCGTTGTTTTCTGCCACCCAGTTAGTGGGAATTTGTTATGGCGGCCCCAGGAAGCTGAGACATCTGTGGGGAGATGCTCTGAGATTGTGGAAATGCCTTGTTTCCCCAAAAGCACTCCCCACTGGCTTTACCGTCCTTGGAGGACCCGGCCCTGACCCCAGTATTACTATGGTAGGTGAGAAAACATTTAAAACCAGGGCCTGACAGCCCCACTTTCTGACTCTGCTCTGAGGTTTCCGGTCACCATGAGCGCAGCCTGGTCTGATGCCGCGGAGCCTGCTTGGTGAGTGACCTGAGGCTGCACCCCTAGAGCACAGCCTGGTGCTGGATGGCGTCCGACTCACACGGCAAGCATTCCACACGTGTTGTTGGATAACAATAAAAGGCACACACGGCAACTCACAGCTGGCAGCGCCTCAGGGCACAGAGATGGGGCACCTGCCACAACACCACACCTGTGCCTTACGGTCCCCAGGGCCAGAGGGTGAGTGTTTGAGGCTCTGAGGGCCCCATGCGGCCTCCACCCATCTTCTTCCTTTTAGTTTGCCGACCCCTGACTCAGGGCATCAGACTAGTGCACAATCCAAAACTAGAGCGTCCGAGGGCGTGAACTCGATGGCCCTCGGTGTCCAGGAGGGAGGGCCTGGGGCAGGGAAGGCGTCCTCACAGCAGCCTGCATCCCGTCATCAGAGTCCAAGGATGCAGCGAGAAGGCTGAGAACTACGTAAAACGAATCTTTGCTCATTTAGAAGATGAACATCTGGCTCCCAAACAGTGCCCTGCAGAGAGGCCCTTGATTACTCTAACATCCTAAGGCACCATCCTGAGGCCCGCCCCGCTGCTCGAAAAGGCGCTGAGTTCCGTCCACGTGGGCATCAGTCCTGGCTCCACAAGAGGCCAGGCCCGGCGCTCTGGGACTTACCACCACGTTCAGCAGTCCTCCGTACGGCCCGATGTCTGGCTGCCACAGGCCCAAAATGTGTCTGTACCGGTGAAGCACTACAAGAAGAGAGAAAAAGCAGGTCTTGGTGTTAGAGACAGCCAGTCTTCACCTCACAGAAAATCAGAGGAAAGGGCGTGAGCGGCAGAAAACTGTGAAGAAACTACTCACGAAGGCAAATGTTTACATTTGGGAAATCTTACCTACGAGTTTCTAAAGCAGGCTAAGAATAAAAATATCTTCAAAAAGCATAATAAAACAGACAACTGGGTCATTCTGAAACCCAGCGTCAAAGCAATCGGCTCCAATGACAAGGAACTTGCCCTTGGAAGACCCAGAGCAAGCACCCTTGTAAAGTAGCGAGCCTCCCATCAGTTGACAGAACTAAGGAAGTGTGGGATTCTTTAGGAGACAGGGACAGAATTCAAAATGTCATGAGACCATAGATTAAGATTTAAGTTGGGCCCCCCTTCTTTCAAAAGCAGTGCATATACACTCACTGAAGACAACCAGAGAAAAGGAAATCTGGGGGTGACCTGAGATCCTGCTACAGAGATGACCAGCCACGGTTAACGTTTTGGAAAATGTCCTTCACTTCAATTTCCTTTGCACATGCATTTGTTGAGTGAATGAATGAATGAGCAAGCAAACTACAACTCATGCAGGACCCTGACTGCCAGGTGCAGGCAATGTGTGGTGGTGAATTTTATGATTCAGCTGGATTGGGCCATGCGGGGCCCAAACATTTGGTCAAACATTATTCTGGGTGTGTGGTGAGAGTGTTTCTGGATGAGATTAACATTTAAATCGATGGATTGAATAAAGCAGATTGCCCTCCCAATTGTGGTGAGCCTTATCCAATCAGTTGAAGGCCTGAAAAGAAGAAGGCTGACCCCCCCATGAGTAAGAGAGAACTCCTCCTGCCTGGTTTCCAGAACTGTGACATCAGTCTTTTCAAACATCAAACTCTAACTGAAACATGCAGTCTCCCTGAATAGTACAAAAAGGCCGACTCTCCCACAAATAAGTGGGATTTCCTCTTGCCTGGCTTCCTGGAGCGAGACATTGGTCTTTTCCGCCCTTTGGACTCAGACTGAAACATGGGCTCCTCTGGGTCTCCAGCCTGCTGACTGCAGATCTTGGAACTTGTCAGCCTCCATAACTGTGGGATCCAATTCCTAATGATAAATTTCTTTATATAAAGAAATTGGTTCTGTTTGTCTGGAGAACCCTGGCTAATACACAGTGGGCCAGGGACCGTGTCCAAGCACCCAAGCTGCGTGACTGCACCAGACTGCAGGAAGGAAGGCCAAGCTGACACAGTCAAGAGGGACCTGGAGGTGGGACAGCAGCACCTTGGTCTGGCGTATGGGGAGTAGCACAGTGAGGCCGGAAACATCCTAAGCCTGTGGAGTATGCAGACAGCTGGTGGGAAACTACCAACTGTTACCGAGGTTTCAGCCTAAGAACACGTTTCTAGATGAGCCTTGATTGTCTGCAGGATGCCTGCCATTCATCCCACACACATCTTGAGTCGGTTTGCAAGACACACAGTAAAGTCAGTTTTGGTATTTTATGGTCAACCCGATGGGTTTTATGTTTGTTGAACAGGTAGTAATAAGCAGGATCAGAACCGTATACGAACACTGAACTCTAAGAGCGAAATGCATGCTCAACTGTTCAGGGGTGAAACATACTGATGCCTGCCAATTACTCTGAAATGCAGCAGAGAATAAGGTGGCCTGACAGAGGGACGGACAGATGGGCAACAGTGAAGTGTGGGAGAGGGCTGTAGAATAAGGTGATGGTAAATGGGTGTTTACTGCAATTCTTCCAAATTTTCTGTGTGTTTTAAAATTTTCATGATAAAATATTGGAGAAAAAATTAAACAGGTCCATTCAGCATGACCCTTCCCTCTTGTCTCCTCTCCTCTCGTCTCCCAACTTGACTGCTAGCCACGTCTGGTTCTTTCCAAAATCAACCTGATCTCAAAGCCCCTCGAGTGACTGTTGAAAGAACATGCCAAAGACTTGGCAATAAATTTCAAAAGAGGAGTTCCCTGTTTTGCTTTAAAAGCAATAGCTCTTTGAAAAGAAACTACAGCCTCCCGCACATCTGCTTTGAGTAGCAGTCCTCCCTGGATTTGTAAGCTCTGTGCGTGTTAGAAGAGTCGATCGTACTCCTGCTGACACAATGTCGGCTCACTCAGCCTGGGATCTCCCCCAAGACCATGGAGAGACAAGTCAGAGAAACCGCGGTTGGCAGCCGGACTGCGCGCACGCTAACCAGAGAGGGGCACGTGATTTCCTAATGCAAACGTAACACCTGTGTTTCTACTCTATACTTTAAAAAGTGAAACCGTACCAGAATTGAGTCCAGGGGAGGCGACTGAAAAGGCTCAACAAGCCCAGAAGCACCCAGACTGAAAGCGCTCACTTGAGTCACAGGAAGACCCTGGATCAACACCAGGAGGGCAGCCCCGTTCAGACCTTCCAACGCCTGGGGCCCTGCTGGGGAGGCCGGCTTAAAGGCAATGCCAGTGAATGATACAAGGAGTGGCACCTTTCCAAGGACTTTCCCTTGTGCACTCGTTCAACCCTCGCCCTGACCCTGTCGTGGGCTGATGAAGGGGCCTGAGCTAAGACATCAGCACCCGAGGTCCACAGAGGGCTTAGGACAGAACCCGGAGCACCTCCTGGCCCAGGGCGCTCACTATACCCCAGGTATACCCCAGCTTCTCGCCTGGAGGAAGATCCCCAGCTCAAAGTCCCTCTCCATATTGTCTCCAAACACCTGCTGACAGCCCAGTCAGGAGAGTGAAATGGAATCACATCACGATAATACTGGTTCAGGTACAGACAGCAGGCTTGGGACCCGAGATATTGATAAGTTGACTGTTGTAGACCCTTCAGGTGCTTTACTGTCACGGGCAGGGCATGCTTAGAGAGCCCAACTCATAGAAAACTACAGAAGACACACACGAGACAGCCTGCCCACTACACGTGGCTAGACCATAAAATCATTCTTGAATCATCACACCTGTTGCTGCAGAATTGAGGCTTCGGGCTGGTGGGTGGTCCTATATGTCATTCTTATCCAAAAGAAAATCACAAATGCAACTAATGGTATCTCCTGCCACTTAGTGGCTTTTGGTAATTAAAACAAAATCAGAGGAGGTGACACTTCCAAACTCATTTTATGAGGCCGGCATTACCCTGATACCAGAATCAGACAACGACACCACAAGAAAAGGAAATTACAGGTCAATATCCCTGATGAACACAGACACAAAAATCCTCAACAAAATATTAGCAAACTGAATTCAACAATACATTAAAAGGATTGCACTCCATGATCAAGTGGGATTTATTCGAGGAATGCAAGGATGGTTCAATACCCACAAATTAATCATATTAACAAAATGAAGGACAAAAATCATATGATCATCTCAATAGATGCAGAAAAAGCAAGTGACAAAATTCAACATCCACACATGATAAAAACTCTCAACAAAGTGAGTATAGAGGGAACATACCTCAACATATTAAAGGCCGTACAGGCCAAGCCCACAGCTAATATCATACTCAATGGTATGATGAAAAAAAGCTGAAAGCTTTTCCACTGAGATCAGGAACAAGACAAGGATGCTCATTTTCGCCACATTTATTGAACATAGTACTAGAAGTCCTAGCTAGAGTAATTGGGCAAGAAAAAGAAATAAAAGGCATCCAAATTGGAAAAGAGGAGGCAAAACTGTCACTATTTGCAGATGACATGATACTATATACAGAAAACCCTAAAGACTTTACCAAAAAACTGTTAGAACTAATAAATGAATTCAGTAAAGTTGCAGGATACAAAATCAATATTCAAAACAAAATCAGGAAAAATATCCCATAGACACATAAGAATTCAGCCAGTTAATCAACAGAGGGTCTCTCAGATGCACTTCCCTTTGGCATCCCCACTGCCCTTTCTAGGAGCACCTTCCCATTGTTATACTTCCCAACTCTCTCCTTCCTTCCTCAGTAACCCACCCGCCCCCCGACCCCAGCAGATGTGTTTTTGACTCCACTTGGCAGACTGGACTTTGGAGGGGCCTTCCCATCAGACTATCCTGTACAGCTAAACGCCCTGTGTCATTTGTGCCAGAGGATTAGAGTGGCCTGTCCATTTCTTCACGGGTGGTGGGCAAAGTTGCACCAAATTCCTTCTATTTACTAGAGCAATCTGGAGCACTGCCAGAATTCTAGATTTGAATCTCAAAACCCAGAGCCCTATGGTTACATGAAGAGTGAAATTTTTTAAGTTCAAAATGTGCTTTGATTGTCACCATCAATTTGCACACACGGACATGTCAGATATGTCGTGAGGACAATACATCCCCCATGACACTCCCAACACCTTACAGACACAAATCAGCAAGAATATCAGGCAACAACACACGGTCAAGAGAAAAATAAACAATAATAGCAAATCTGAGGCCACAGAGCTCCTAACAGTTCGAATCCACAGCTACAGATGATGCTGGCTTCCCTCTCTCCGAGACAGTGTCTTGCACCTAAGATGTTCATCCACTCTGGTCCAAGAGAACAGCCCAGAGGACTTCTAGAGACCAGGGGACACGAGGTCTCAACAGCTCCAGGAACAGCGCAAGTAGATGATGGAGACAGAAACAGTGCCAGGTCCCCAGTTCCTCACAGCAGACTTCTCTGGAAGGTTTGGCCAACGTCAGAGAACAACTTCGGAGCTGCCCTCTGTTAGAACCCACGAGGAGCACTGGAATACTGAACACCTGGAAATACAGAGGTTCCAAATTGGGAGTGAAACCGGTTTTCTTTTTTCATGCATGTGAACTTTTTTCCCGATGTTCTGGGAGACCATGGAGCTAACAGACCGGTCACACTTTAAACACGTCCACAGAGAAGGGCAACCAGCCAGTGCTTACAGCTGGTTGTTTTCATTATATTTTCAGGATTTTCCAAGTTTTCTACAATAACTACTGTATTTTTATAACTGCACTCAAACCTTAGAGGGGACAGCAGTCTCCAATGACACCAAGTCTGTTATAAAGCTGTCAGTTACAAGCAACTGGGGGACATCACAGTACAGGCCTGAAAACGTCTAAAGTCTAGTCTAGAAAAAAAGTACATGGCTAAAAACTCTAAAGTCTAGCGCATGGCTAAAAAAGTTCTTGGAAACGTGTTGGAAAGTCTAGACTCGTGACTTGTCCTTATAAGCTACAGAAAGCTTCTGGCCACCCCTTAGAACACACTCCAACACAACTCAGGCACTTCTTGGTCCCGGTCACCACACCTCCCAGAGGCGGGTCAGAACTCCATTCTAGCTCTGCGATAAGTTCCAGACAGACTGTTGTTCGGGGAGAATCCTGCAACAGATGTGTGATGTAATGAATCTCTAAGTGCTTGTCCATTTGTATCTAAAAGCCCACGCCAGGTAGGTTCCCGTCAGCAGCACCATCACCATTGATCACTTGTTCTCAGCAATACTTGCTACATCAACGCTCCCTCCCGGGGGCTGGAGAAGGCACTTGGCTCACTGACTGCTAAGTAGGGAGGCTGGGTCAGACCATGACAAAATGTTCTAGAGAGGCTACTTCCAAGAGGGTTTGGAAAAGAACAGAATTAATGACTTCAAACTTGGCCCGTCTGACTCCCTTGTTGTCCAACCAAAGCCCCCCAGCCCCTCATGATTGCTCACACTCACTCCTGACAAGCCCCCCTCACTGCTGCTCTTCACTCAAGCAGCTCCCCTCTGGGCTGATTACACAAACAAGGTGGGTGTGTTAGTAGCCATGCACAGTACTCAGACACCACCCCAAAGCATGCTACCCAGGCCCAGGTCCCTCCACACTGACTCCAGGACAGTCCCCTAAGTCATTGGGGACCAGTGAGCACACTGTAGCTACGTGTCCAGAGTCCGAGGGGGGTTAGGAGAAATTCCATAAATGACTATTCCTTCTGCTCCGAGTAGGTTTGGCTAGAAATTGTGCACTTATAAGACTCAGAAGTGGGTCTGCCCCACACAGGCAATGCTGACACGTAGAGCACCCAGAGGGGCTGGGGTGACGAGCAGGAGGGTGTCCCTGTGCTGCGAGAAATTTCAAAAACACCTTTTAGTTCAAGAACCTATTTTTAATATCTTTAATATCAACCAAAATTTATTCTCTCCATCTCAGCTCACCCTAATAAAAAGCAGAGATAGCATTAATCACCTATGGAATATGGCTTAGGAAAATTTTCAGAGCTCAAGCAATGCCGAGCAGGAGACGAGTCAGGTTCTAAATAACAACTGTCTCTACATACTTTCGTCTAGTGTGGTTACATGTGCATGGAACTTTTTTAAGTTCACATATGCTGCTCAAGCGTGACTGACTAATGGAGCCTAGAAGGAAACGAGTACATTTCCTTTTGGAATAGAAAGGTTTTAAGGCTTCCACTCTGTCTCTCTTCTCGGCCTCAATAAACGATAAATGTTAAACTGTGCATCAACACAGGGATCTTGATTGGTACCACCCAACAACCCAAAGCTGCTGTTGAAACCCGGCCCATACGTGCAGCTGCCACGGGGCCGCCACTCAGGTGTGATCCTGGTTGCGGCCCAGCCGCAGAGAACACTCGGCAAGGTGAAGACACAGCCAAAGCCAAGGAGGTGAGCTCGCTCTAGGGACCAAAGCAGTCCTCGTGCCGTGAGTTGGAGGTCCCTCTCCATGCAGCCCTGGGCCGTGCTTGCCTGCTCAAGCAAAAGCTAGCGGGAGGTACGTACGGCAGGTGTACACATCTCTGTACTCCATGTGCTCGTAATCGGGCAGAATTTTCATGAACCGTCCCGACTTGACGCGCGGGTTTATACCTGAACAGACACAGCAGGGAAAGGGCTAAGGATGGTTCCGCCTTCACGGCTGTGTGAACAGTTTTCACGACTCAACCACCTCTCCCTCACGGATAGCATACAGTTCCCTTACACGCTCAACCCGCAGAACCTTGGGAGGCAAGCACTTGCCAAAGAGGACAGGCCTGGCTGGAAAGAAAATGTTGTGACGTATCTCCCTCTTAATCAATGGAGTCGCATCAGAAATGCATGATGGCAGCAAGCTCAGGACCCTCGCCATGCTCACTCTCCTCCCCTGACTGCCACGGATCAAGGGAGCTCATGGAGGAGGGAGAGCGGAGGTCGCAGCTCACGGGTATTTGGGGTGACCATGTGGGGACCCCTGTGCCCCAGCTAAGATATCCAGCTTGCTCGGTGCACACGCGGTCTTCGTTTGTCCTCGCTGCGTGTGTCTGTTTGTTTTAATTAAGGACGGTATCTGCCAGCCTCCTAACTCAGACGGCTTCGCTTCGGAATCAAGACTGGCTGGCTCTACCACCTAGGCCAGGAACTAAGGGTGATTTTCTTCTGCCAGCCATTCCAAAAGCTAAGTAATTTCTGCCTGGATAAGGCCTTCAAAGCAAATTCACAAAAACAGAGATCCTGCAATGGGAAAATGAAAACTGAAACTCACTTTGGCTGGGGCAGATTAAACACTTTGGGATACTAAATAATGGATAATATGAATTATTCTCTGGATTTTGCAACCATTTTCAAGGAGCCAAGAATGAGACGTCAAAAGTAATCCCCAGATGTCCTCCTTTGCTTGTCCACATGCCCTAGATAGACATGTGTTCTCGCCATGGCCCTTGTCCCCTCCCCCTCGGCCACCCCCAATTTACCCCTGGTCACACCATCTCCTGCTCCCCAGCAGTCACTACCCACCTGTGCCCAGATGTCCCCTCCATGGACAGCCACCCACAGGGCCTGGGCAACTCCCTGTGCCCACAACTGAGATGAGCTCTGTAGGGGCCTTAATTTCCCATGTGTGCTCTCCTCTGGGTGTCATGGGTCCCCTGACACCTAGCAGCATGAGCATCTGCCTCCCTCCAGGATGCTATTTTGAGTGTTTACCACTCTTAAAGAGAAATCTGTCTTCCTGGTGCTTTGAGATGATGTCATCAAATGGCCTAACAAACTCAAAAGGCAATTAGAAGATAAGAATTTGCCGTATTAGATACTCATAGAAACCAGCTGGCCATCTGAAAAAGCCAGGGAAGCTTTCTTTTCTGTGTATGTACGTGGGGATCATGGTAGCAAGACTTCGGCTCTGACTCTTACACCAATGCAGACAGCAAGGATAGTTCCTCCAATTCTATGCTGTGGCTGGATTTACGACACTGAGCCCTAGGTGAACAACAGAGGACCCAAGGGTGGAGCAAGGGCCGTGTGGGCACCCACGGAATAGAGGATGGGGAGAAGTGGAGAACTGCCAGGTTTCTGCCTCTGGAACTCTAGGCTTCGCTGAATTCAAAGTGGCACTGTTCTTGCCACGGAGATGAGAAGACAGAATGGAGACTGACTCCTACACCCACTTCCCCTGGAGAGACACATCTGCATGGGCGGTGGAACATGGAGCAAAGGCAAGAGAAGAAACCCAAGTCTGAACATGCACAGGGACGGAGAAGATGGGAGGCCTTGAGCAGATCAGCCTGCACTGGGGTCCAAAGCCCAGGAGGACAGGGCCGCAGGAGGCAACAGCCGGGTGGGGAATGGTGGCTAAGGGTGAGGATGCAGCCTGAGGCCCACAGGAGAGTGGGGAGAATGGGGGGTGCCAAGAGGTGGCAGAATCGGGGCTGGGACGTGGCAGAGCAGAGGTCCTGACAGCACCCTCTCCAAGGGCTGCCAGCAGCAGGTGCAAGGGGGGCAACAGCCTCAGAGGGCATGGCCGAGCCACCAAGAACTGTGCATGCTGAGGGTGGCCTGGGTCCCCAGAAGAAGGTCCATGAAGAACTCACAGCCTTTGGACAGGAGATCTCCCCAAGTATGAGCAAATTCTAACCCAGAAACACTAACCAATCCAACAATCCCAAATCGCCAGGGGATCGTAGTGTGAAGAGAAGTCACTGATGGGAGGAGGAAAGAGGAGACAATGAAAGCAGCGTGGATCCAGGGACTAAACACGGCCCCACGTCTCCCTGCAGAGCCGGCTCCTTGGCGGAAACTCCACTCTCTACTGGTGCAGGGAGCATGTGGCCACGGGAAGGAGGGGCAGCTCAGAGGGGACTCTGAGAGTAACAAATCCACTGAAAAGAGGGAATACAGAAAGTGACACCAACTAGCAAGCCTGAGACCCCAGAAGGAAGCTTCTAGCACTTCAGTGCACACTCGGCAGCCTGACCCACAGTGCAGCCCCACTGCTTACTTCTCAGTCCCAAACCACAGATGTTCCCATGGAGAAGCTCAGCCTCTCCGTTCCTGGGTGAGGTGTTTAGTAAGGGGCACCACCTGGTCTAAGTTTTCAATGGAGAACTGGGTAGAAAGTTTAAACGAATGTGAAAACCCAAATCTACCAAGATGGCTGTAAGATGGACACTTAATGTCCTTCTTAGAGAGGTCAACAGGTCAACTTTAGGCCAAACAGAACTGGGTCACCATTGTCTTTCTGACTCTGTTCTTCAATCCCCAGCCCTAGGTGCTAATGACACATGCCACACCACCACTGCGGAGTGAAGAAGTGGGCGCTGCCTGAGGGACGGTGCTGTCCACCTCTCCCGGGCGACATCAGTACTACCAGCAGCCTTCACAGCCTCATGCAGATAGGCAATAAGGAAAGACCAGCGGGGAATGTATGGGGCTGGGGGCACTCTGAGCACTCAGGGAGTGTCGCTGGCGATTCTCGAAAGCAAAGGAGCAGAGAACAAGAACCAGGGCAGGGGGTGGGCTGGGGGCTCAACAAGCCATAGGAAACTGAAGGGAAGACTGAGCAGACGGCTCGAGGCTGGTGGGGCCTGCAGGCGGAGCGCTGGCAGCGGGAGGAGCCAAGGGGAGCCGTCACGGCTTCATTTCCCAGTTACCATCGGCTGTCAGCCCAGATTCCAGAGAAAGGGACACCTACAGAAGTACACCAGAGCTGTTTCCAGCGCAGCCACCTTTCTCAGAGCTCAAGGTCCCTGATGCCTAATAAAAGACACCTTTGTCCCGTGATGGGCAGAAAAATAAGGGTAATGACACACCCAGAAAGGGAGAGAAGAAAGCCCGCCCCCTCATTTAGGGCTATTACTACCAGTGCTGTCTTTAAAATATCCATAATGACTTCAAGAGGATGTCTGAGAATTGAAGTGTGGAAATTAATAAAAGAAACCTGAACTAAACTGGAGTCAGGACGGCCTATAGGGGGAGCTCTCATGCCCCATCACACATCCTCAATGACACCAAACAGGAAGAGGTGGACCTTGCACCTTCCACAGGAAGCACAACTACTTTAACTACTGAGGGAAGATTTCACTCCACCCAGCAACAGCTCAGCCAATGAGAAATGCCGCAGCTCAGCCAATGAGAAACGTGATGGCCCAGCCAATGAGAAATGCCACAGCTCAGGCAATGAGAAACGTGACGGCCCAGCCAATGAGAAATGACCTGGCTCAGCCAATGAGAAATGCCACAGATCAGCCAATGAGAAACGCCATGGCCCAGCCATTGAGAAGCCATTGCCGCCCTGAACTGTTACAGTCCTCCAATGGTCTTTCATTTAGAACAGCCCCTCCCCACTCCTCCTTTTCTCTATAAAAGCAGCTCCCTCCTTTGTTCTCTAGATTTGCCTATCGTTTGCTATAGCATGCATATCCCAGTTACAATTCTTTTTTTTTTTTTAAAGATTTTATTTTTTCCTTTTTCTCCCCAAAGCCCCCCAGTACATAGTTGTATATTAGTTGTGGGTTACAATTCTTTTGGCTATTCCCAATAAACTCATTTTGAGATGAAGTAACAGGCAAATTTGCTTTTTAAGTTGACAGAACTGTGGACTGGGGGTCAAATTAATTGATTATCTATTGTTGGTACTCCCTCTGTGTCTGCTTTTGGAACAAAGTTAATGATGGATGATAAAAGATTAACTTACGCTTCGCATATACGTCTCGACAAGACACACCCGTGATCTCCAGCTTCCGCAAGTTTTCACAAACGCCATACTCTGTAACGAGAAACATTTGCTGGGAATTACAGTCAAGAAATCACAAAGCAATAGAAATAGACAGACGGAAGAGGGTGGTGCATGCCTGAGCCTTGGCCTTGTCTCCCAAGTGAGTCTGTCTTTCCTTGTGGAGATTACACAGGACTTCTCCACATCCAGTCAATACCCTCATTCACCAATGAAGCCATTATTCTATTTTTAGACAACGTCACTCTCAACGAAATAACAATCTGCATTGTCTGTTCTGATAACCTCTAAAAGCCTAATTGCACAAACCCAAAATTAGACAATCCCCAGCTTATGAATACCGTGTGGTACAAACCCAGTGGTCTGGAAACAATGCATGTTTCCATAGAAATGAGATTGTCATTGGTGTCAGGGTTCCAGAAAGACCCCTTTTACCCCCAGTGTCGCTCACCATGCTACTGATTCTATTAAATGAAGTCACAGGCCCTACAATCGAAGACCAAGGGAAGACAGTGGAAGGAGGAGCTGGACACTCTCTGGCCCTTTTGCATGGGGCTGCCCTAGACCAGCAGCCAGTGAAGGGGATCCTTGACACCCTCCCAACCTCTCCATCCTCCCAGCCTCCCCTGGCGGACAGCGCTCTCCCACTTCCTCCTGCCTACATACTCCTGCTCCACCATGGCCCCACCTTTCAAAATCACTCCCCCAGCACTTCCCAACCTAAACTTCAGTTCCTTTTTTGTTCATGTCTCATCAAGGCTTTGAAAGGAAAGCACCATAACTGAACTAATCCACACTAATACAGAACTGCCTGTTGGCCAAGAGCTAATAATGACAACACCTGCCTCGTACCAACCTTTGCATGTGCTGGGCACCATGCCGAGCTCCTGTGGGCACCAATGCATTCAACCCCACCAGCAGCCCATGAGAGAGCAGCTACTGCCATCTCCACTTAACCATGAGAAGACAGGCACAGAGGAGCACATGCTTGTGATGGGGACCCAGAACTGAAACCTGGATGGGAACACCTCGTAGAGGTGAGCACAGCCCCAGCCCATAGCATGTGCTCAGCAAGCGTTTGATGAGAAGGGCAGTGGGGGGCCCTAGGATCCCACGGTAAAGACCACCATGACTCTCACTCACTGTGCCATACTGGGTGCAGGCATTCAGCTGGGGCTTCCCAAGACTGCCTCCCGACATCCTGACAACCACCTCTAAGGCCAGTGCTACGCCCCCATCGCAGGGAGGGAAACGGAGGCTGGGTGAGGTTGGTAACTCAGCAGTCCCTCTGGAACGTGGATTGATGCAGTCTGGGCAGTACCTGCAAAGCACTGTCCACCTCATCACATCACTTTTGGTTGTGCCTATACCCTCCCTGAGGTCTGGTCTTTTCAACAGAATGGATGATATTAACCCAAACGCTTCTATAGCTGGGAGGATTTCAACAGTATAGCAAGCTCAGGATGCACACACGGTGAAGAAGCCACCTGGGGTGAGGCGGTTACTCCTCGGCAAACCTCTCTCTGATGGGGCTGGCCCAGGCCCCTGCTTTCCCCCCTCCACTGTTGACAACAGACGTGAAGGGAAAGACTCCTAAAGACCTCACACCATGGCCTTGCTCATTACCAGGCAAAAACACCTGTTTCCTCCTCCTGCCAAGAAGAATGTGGACTCCGTCCTAGAGAATTATGCAAGTTATAAGAACCTGTGAAGATAACACAGCATGTAACGTGAGTTACCAGCAATGTGAGGAACCACATTTTGTGAAAACGCTTGCAGACCCCACAGACCAGGTGAATACAGCCACACCCTCAAGGTGGGCCAAGCAAACGGGAAGAACTGGTCTACCCGGCTCCCATTGCAGAGCTCTGCTCTGCATTAAACTATCTTCACCATTTCCTGTCGGTCCTGTGATGCCCATGATGACCAAGTGGCTCCTCCTTTGAGTGACAGTCAGCTGTCACTACTGTCTGGCTCCTCATACACACTCTTTCCTTCCCTTGTACAAATGATGCACTTCGAAGTTGTGACCGAATAACAAGATTGGTGCTTCAGTTTGTTTTCTGTGTGGTTTTGCAAGGACAGCTCCTTTCCTGCACGCCAGCATGCTACCAGGGCATGTGGTAACAGATAAGGCTAAGCTGGCCTCGCAAACACAGCGGGGTGATTGCCAGGGGTCTTCTCCTTCAAAAACTGCGCCCTGTTGTAACATGTGTTAGGGCTGCAGGCAAGAGTCTGACTCTTGGTGTCAACAGTCAGATACAGGGCTGAGACCTGAGCACACAGCCGTTTGTGCTGTTGTTGCTGATGGCGCCAGAAGTCAAGCAAGGCCTTTGCAAGGCATCAATATTGTTCCTTAGGCATTTCTCTGTGCTCAGATTGCTGAAGGCTGGTGGCTAGGTTTATGATTTTTGTCTTTGAGTCCAATGCATACTCCAAGCAGATAAAATAATGCATTGCCTCTCACTAATCACTTGACGTCTGAATGATTCTAAGATTTTTAGCCAGGATGACCAGATCATCATAAATCTCTGTGTCAAGAAAGGGTATTGCTGACATCACACGCAGATGAACTCGACGGCCAGATACGGCATCCACAAAATGCCATTAACAATCAAAAGAAAAACAAGGCCATGCTGTAGTGCTAATGAATATAACAGTCCTTTCTGGGTTTTTCTTAATGTTCCCAAAAATCATAATAAATTCACCAAAGTAGAATAATGTCATTCTGACCCAACTGTTCCTGTAAGAAACATTCGGTAATTTCCACACGATGGAAAAGGCCTTTTTTTAAAATAGTGGCTAAGAGCAATGCCATATCCCTGCTTGTTCTCTAAATCTTGCCACAAGTCATCAGGGAAACTGCCCCTAAAATTCCTTTAAGGCCAGCGTACTTGCCAGCACCTCATATCCTTCCCTCCAGAAAAGCTAACAAGTGTTAACTCCATCCTTCGGCACACATCCTTTCCCAGAAGATGAAAAGTTCACACGCCAATCCATGCTGCCTAGAGCTGCTTTTTAAGTATGGGGTGTAGTGTTGCAGGCTGTCACCACAAACGTTTCCTTGAGGCCAGCCTGGTGGCGTAGTGGTTGGGTTCACACACTCAGCTTTGGTGGCCGGGGGTTCGCAGGTTCGGATCTCAGCTGCAGACCTAGCACTGCTTGTCAAGCCACGCTGTGGCGGCATCCCACATAAAATAGAGGAAGACTGGCACAGATGTTAGCTCAGGGCCAATCTCCCTCACACACACACAAAAGTTCCCTCGCTCGTCTATTATACAAGGTAGCTTATAGAATTCTTTTTGAAAGTGTCTGCTCCAAAGATGGTAACACAATAAAAAAAGTTGGGAAGGGGGAGAAAAATGGGTGAGCTGAACTTGAGGAAATTTATAATTTAAGTGGGCATACTATGGAAAACAGCATGGCAGTCTTTCAATAAACTAAACATAGAATCACCACATGATCCAGCTGTTATTCTATTTAAGGGTATATACCCAAAAGGAGTGAAAGCAGGGACTCAAACAGACACTTGTACATCTGTGGTCAAAGCAGCATTACTCACAATGGCCTGAAGGTGGAAGCAACCCAAGTGTCCACTGATGGATGGATAAAGCAAATGTGGTCTGTACACACGATGGAACATAATTCACCCTTAAAAAGGAAGGGAATGCCGACACCTGCTGCAGCGTGGAAGAACCCTGAGGACATTATGCGGAGTGAGATAAGCCAGTCACAAAAGGACAAACACTGTAGGATTCTATTTATATGAGGAACCGGGAGGAATCAGATTCAGAATGAGGACAGTGGGGGCCAAGGGCTGAGGAAGGGAAAGCGGAGAGTGAGTGAGTGAGTGTGTAATGGAGACAGACTTTCAGCTGGGGAAGAGCACTGGCGACGGATGGTGGTGACGGCTGCACAACAGTGTGAATGTGCCGAGTGCTGCAGGACTGTACGCTTAAACAAGGCTAAAACGGTAAATTCTATTTTATGTATATGTTTCCACAATAAAAAAATTAAACTGCCATTTCAAATATTCCAATCAGAAAATTTCCAAAAAGCTATTTAAGAAATGATTTGCCAGGAGGCAAAAACAGCTCAGCAACTTGGCCTGAGTCAAGTCAACACGGAAGCTGCATCCTCTTCTGACCTAACTGCCAGGGGCTGCCAGCCTCTCAGCACTCGTTTCCTGCCCACTGAGGTTGGTACCGTGTGATGGGGTTTACCAGCAACCCCTGTGCCCGCAGCACATCTCAGTGTGCATGAAATCCAGTCCTTCTCTGTGGCTGGGAATGTAGGCTTAGAAGAGTTTGCTTGCTCTCTCTTTTCTCCATTCTCTCCCTACAGAAGAACTCAACGGACACACGTCTGCTTCTTGAGGTTCCTTCCCTGGAAGAGAAGATGGAGATTAACGGAGATGGCACCCATGCCAGCCGGGACTGCGATCTGCACACATTGTGCTGGAACAGAAGGTGACAAAGAAAGTTCACGTCATTATTCTTTTTTTCTAAAGATTGGCCCTGAGCTAACATCTGTTGCCAATCTTCTTTTTTTTCCTTCTTCTTCTCCCCAAAGCCCCCCAGTACGTAGTTGCATATTCTAGTTGTGAGTGCCTCTGGTTGTGCTATGTGGGACGCCACCTCAGCGTGGCCTGACGAGCAGTGCCACGTCCACACCCAGGATCCAAACCGGTGAAACCCTGGGCTGCCGAAGCAGAGCGCGCGAACTTAACCACTCGGCCACGGGGCAGCCCCTTGCGTCATTCCTCTGTGCACTGCAATGGTACTGGGAGACTGTAGTGAGAGGGGACCTAGCCTCACTCTCCCAGTAAATGCCACTTGTGAGGGGACTCCGCCACCCTGGAAAGGCACAGCCCTAGGGCACTATCTGAAGCAAGTCAGTGGGCACACAAGGGAAGTCTGGAAAGGGAGGTTCTCTCCCAGTCCTGGAGGGCCTTGAATGCCAAAGGCAGGAGTCCACAGGCAACACAGAAGCACCAAAGAGACTGAAGTAGAAAAGCCACACGGACAGGGCTT